CCCAACTTATTATTACAGGGCACGTTCGCTGCTGCATCTGTGAGGCTGTTGCACATGCCACTCACAGAGACCTGGCAGTGAAGCTCAGAAACCTGGCATGCCCATGAAATCCCTGTCTCATGAGTCTTTAGCCAAAGTGTGACACTCCACTGAAAACTCTGAGAATGAATCAATGAAAAAATCTGCTCCTGTGTCCCATGCATTGCTTGCAGGGAGCAAATGTCCCAAGGCACGGCAGACCTACAGAACAGCAACTGTGAGGCCGAAAGAAAGTGTGCTCTGCAAATCAATTTCTTTGCACCAGAGGGTGTTTGCATCTGCAGTGCTCTTTGGACAGATGTGGCCCCATATCAGTTCACTGAAGTAAGCTGCATTAAGAGACATTGCTTGCCAGTTAATTTGGCCTTGAGCAGTGGAGGGTAGGGTCTTTTCTTAAAGTAAAAGAACTGTAAAATTCAAAGGCTGTATCTTCATATTCAGTTCACAGCCACCTCGGGAAATCTCGGACATCAGAACCCCAGTGTCAGAGTCAGACAAGCCAGCAGGACCACACACCTCCCACCATCCACAAGGGGCAAGAGCCCCACTGGCATCCCTTTGAGGAGGACAGAGATTCTGGTCTGCAGTCAGGGTCTGCCAGGACTTCAGTGTCAGACTCTGGCTCTCAGTTCCTCTCCACCAGCAGAAGAGCCTTGCGGTCAGTGTTCTCCTCATCCTGGCTGCCAGACAAATTTGAAGCCAGTCTCTCCTGGGCTGTCACAAGCCACAGGTCGGCCCCAGGTGTGACTGGAAACGTGGCCCATGTATGATAGTGTCCATATGTGAAGTGATACCTGGGGTAACATGGGTCCTCTGGTCATGCAGGTGTCTCCTCAGGCATTGTTTCCAGCTGCTCTCTCCAGGTGCTGACAATGGGGCTGCCTGCTGCCTTGTGGGAACTTTTTTGTGCCCCTCTTCTAAAGCAAATCCTGTTGTACACATCTCCAGGACAAAACTTCGCACCAGCGCTCACTTAGATGCTCTCCTCCAGTTCTGACAAACACCATCCTACACAACACAGCCACAGAGGTAATTTCAGAGCTGGCTGTCAGGCTTTTGCTGCCTTCCCTCTTCTTGAGAGCAGCAAATGCAGGCAGCTTGTCTCCATGTCCATTGCCTTCTCAGCACCCTGTGCCCTCCAGAGCTATTGCTGCTCTTTCAGTGGGATACCAGGTCTCTGATGATCAGTCAATTATGCCAAACACTACCATTTCTGGTTGGGCTTTTCAAGCCGTCCAATTTCTCTTTTTCCATGCTGTTTATTTTAAGGAGCAGCTCCCTGTAAATGCACAAACCGTCACTTTTTCTCACTTAAAATGCATTTTTAAAAGACTTTCTTTGGAACAATAGCTGCAAAAATGTGTCAAGAAGAGAATTGGCGCTGTGCCAAGCAGCTCAAGCCTCTTGTTTCTGCCTCCTTGCCTCTCTGAGCTATGCTGCAAATTCTTTTGCCAGGCTGAAGCCTATGGGACCATAGGCTCAGATCCACATACTTCCCATGTTTTTCCATTGCCTGGAACAATCAGGTAGTAGACCAACGATAGCAGCTCAATGATAAACCAAGACATGCAACTCACACTCTTGACTGAGAGCAAATTATTGTTTATTAGTGCAAATATAAAGAAATTCCTTTAACACCTACAGGAAAAATTTTATGTGATTGCTTCCCATCAGTCCAGTGGGGGAATACAGCAAACCACCATTATTCACATAGGCTTTGCCTTTTCCCCAGATGAAATCAAAAGGAGGAGGGTTTTCAGGCTTGAAATTTGCTCTCCAGGATGTGGTCAATGTCTCCAGGACATAGCCAATCCCTGTCACCTTATACTTTGAAAGAAATGTCGATGGTCTGAGTTACAACCCTCACTAAACTTTGCATTCACTTCAGCCATGTCCACTCCTACTGTTGAAATACTCTGAAACAGTGAAAGGCCTCAGATGCAATACTCCCCAGGTCCAACATGATGCAAATCCCAAGAGTTGCACTGTTCCCTGCAGAGGGCACACTATTCCTATTGCTCCTTAGGCTATAATCTGCTAAATACTTTGAAGTAGTTGTGATACTGGTGTTAGAGCCTCATAGTCCTAGCCATACTTAGATATTCTTCAATTTTCTTTCCCTGGAGAAAGTTTGCATTGGTGACTACAATCCACAGGATACTTGCCAAAACTGGTTCATGCAGCATAACTAGACTACTGGGGAGAAAGAAGCTGCATAGAGAAGAATCCTAAAAAGAGCAAGGAATTGCATGCCAGACATAGACCCAAAACAACTACTGGCCTTTTGAAAATGAGGGAATGTGGTAGAAGTCAATGCAACTTTTATGGATCCTACTCTGACTACAAATTATATTTTAAAATGTGTAAAAACAAGTTTTCTAAAGGGGTTTAACTGAAACAGTAAAATAAGGAGCTAATTTCCAGAATGTCTTGGAAAAAAGAGAGAGAGTGGTTGGGAACTCTCAAACCCAACCAATAACTGCTCTGCTAAAGACAAAATGGGAGGTAAAGGGCCTCTAAGTTCACAGCTAGAATTGACTTTGGATTCGAGCATATTTAAAAGAAACCATGATTCAATGACCTTGATTAGTCCTTTTTCTAACCCTTTCATATTTAAAAAAGAAAAACACAGCAGTTCTTCCTTCTATAAATTTATATTAAGTTCTGACATACATCTTGAACAACAGACGTGCATACTCAGTGTGAAGACAGCAATTCTACGAGAAGTCTCATGAGACTTTGGACCACTGTGCTGAGTCCTTAGAGATCCTGGAAGAAAAAGCACCACAGTGGGTAGGTGATGCTAACACTCAGGTAAAAATTACTTAATTCAAGTGGTGCTAAGAGAGTTGCAGGTGCACAGGAGAATTAGGGGATACCAGCTTGAAATTGTTGTCTGTTCACTCTCTTATGGGAGACTGCATTCCACATTATTCTTTCCAGGAGTGTCTTGCATCACAGAAACCAGAATTATATAAAATTTCTCATTATGTCTGCCTAATTAGGCAGAGGAGTTCCTAAATTTTTCAAAACATAAGCACAGTCTGACATTTTGATTGCAAACCCCTTCAAACACTTAACTCTCAAACAAGTCCTGTTTGCACTGAGACTGCAGCAAGATACAAAAACACAGTTACCTGCTCCAAAACACCTCAACCTTTCAATTTTTGTCTTGACTGTGGCTTTGCTGGAGTCCTCCATCAGTCCTTCTGAGCAGTGTTGGAATCAATCAGCTCTAAAGGAGTGTTTGAGGCTAAAGGAGTGCTCCCCAGGTCTCAGCAGGGGCAGTAGGGGTGGGTACAGCTTCCTCCTTCTGGGCAGCCTGTGCACAAAGCCTTAGCCCAGATTGTCTCCTGTGGCTGGCAAATACAGAAAGCTACAGCAAATTTGTCTGCTACAGCAAGTGAGCAGAGGTCTGCTGCTATAATGAGTTGCATATGCAAGCCCCCAAGCCCTCACTGAGGGGACATTAATTACACATTGTGAGAAATCAGCCAGCAAACTAGGAGATGAGAAACTGGGGCTCGCTGCCATCCTGCTCTTGTGGGCTCACCTTTGTGCAGGATTGTGGGGGAAACATCCCATTTCCTCAGGCCAGGCTGGGATGCCTCCTGCAAGAGGAAGCAGACAGTGCCTCTTGGCTGACCTGAGGCCAAGGGAGCAGTGCAGGTGCACAAGGCAGGAGGAGGGAGCAGGCAAGATCAGGGATACCACTGAGCACCCACAGGCCAGTGGGCAACAAGGAGGGGCTGATTCAGTGACCCTGCCTGCATGAAAATTCCCAATTTAAAAAATCAGGGTAAGAAAAGTGCTGATGGGCATGTAATCCTATGTCTGTAGGTATTAAATGCATTTAATTTACAGTACCTTGGCAACAAAACTGTTGAAGCACATGATATGCAAAGGAACCACGTTTTTAATATAGGTCTCATCAAATCCTGAGTTTCAGTGAATGAAAATGCTTCACTTTGCAACCTCACTCTGGTACTCCCCTCTTGTCAGTCCATTGGTCTGTGCAGTCCTACAGTATCCATAAGAAGGAGCTACTTCTCCTGTAGCTTTTTTACTTTTATTGGAGACTACCAAACCTAGTGAGTAGCTGGAGGCGATGTGACAGCTCCAAATATCTTGAATCCAATTAAACTGAAGATTAAACAATTTTTTTCATTCCAATGCATTATCCTTTTTATAACTCCATGCACTGCAGAACATCCAGTTCATTATGTGTAACCATCAAAGAAAAAACAAGTCTGGAACTAGCAGACTTTTCCCACAGATGAAACTGTATTCTCACATACTAAAACAACCAATGTGAAATATTTTGCTATTTGTCATCAAGAGATCCAAAAATTTCTCCAAGGTACAGCAATTTCACTTCTCAGATTTACTGCCCAAGCCTCTCTTTGGATTCATTATTTCCCCACCATTGAGAGAGTATGTTTACAAAGCCAGGTTGTTTGTATTTCCCTCTCTCCCCAACAGCAAAAGATAGCAAATTTAACAACACTGCAAGCTAGAAAACTGCTCTGTGGCAAAGCTGAGCCTCAATCCAAGAGAACAATCCATCTGCTGTACTGTAAACATGACAAAGAAAAAAATACCACTTTCATCTCTTCTCCCCTTACACGCTGGATTTTTCATTTAATAGACAAAATGCAGGTACAGAAAATACTTTGCTTTACTGAGTCTGTACAATGAACAACCTTAACTTTTCTGGTCACTTAAAAAGATAACAGGACTCCACATTGTCACCATCAGTATACACATTTCAGAACGTTTTTACACGTGCTTGGGGACATCACTGCAGATGAAGCATTTCACACCTCTCAGGGTCCTTCAGAGCTGCTCCTCATCAGCCAGGCTGGCTGCTCTGCTTGCTGTAAAGCACAACTCACACCTTCCTGCTGCTCTAGCCAGCAGAAAAACAACTGGTCAGGAAGAAAAGGAGTAAGCTACACTCATTTCAGGAGAGATTTGAATAGTTTATTTTGCCCAATCAAGAGCCCTTCAGCATAATGACACATTCATATACACATATATGAACATTTTTTTCTGAAACATTAATGTATAATACATTTTAAATTTAAAATACCAGCTGCACAGGTATTTCTATTTACAAAAATATTCCATACTTAATTTTTTAACTTCATTATGATGACATAGTTCAGTCCAAGTACATGTAAGTAAAATAACTCTATGCAATCTAACATAGTTGAGTTTGTAACAGTACAGTTTGCAGTTCATATGAAACTATATTTGTAGACAGATGGATTTGCAACCCTACCTAAAAATGCATATTCCAGTAATCATCCTCAGAAGAGCTAGTGGGGCTCAGCAAGACTTAACTGAAGAATAAGTTGCAATGAACATAAGGGAAAAAGAAAACACACATGTACACACTAACATATACAGAAACGAGAACTGCTACACATCAAGCATGCTTACCCAGGAGTGGGCAATGTTAGAAAAATTTACGGATGTATTTTTTCCCCCATGGTGCTGGTACGATGAAACAGCAGCATAACCAGAAAGCAGCATGTTTTCCTAGTTCTAACCACTACAGATAGCAGAGCTCAGGTCTAAAATAACACAGTACTGCTTATTTACAATTCTGTTTTAAAAGGGAATATTTAAAACATGTTCCCACCCCTCTCCCTTTCCATCACCTATGACTGAATGGTAGTGGTAATCCACATACAACTTCTTACGTGTTTTCAACTGAAACAGTTTAACTTCTAGTTATTTGCCTGGTTAATATGGAACTTAGGTACTAACAGAAAAATACAACTGTCAAAGTAACCTACAGCTGTAGGTTAGCTTAAACGTTTCTAGGTGCACATGGAACTTCTAAAATAAATACTGATTGACATCTTCTATTTGATTGTTTCGTGTTTCTGCCTCATTTCTCTTCCTTTTTTTAGACTTTTAAAAAATTAATGCCTACATCTTTAAGTCTAAACTTTATAAGGTGGAAAAGAACCCAGAAACAGTACACTCATCGGATTTGAAACAGTAATAAGGTACATATATAGCACATCTTTATAATGGGCTTAAGAAGAAATCGGCCCAGATCAGCTTTTCAATGAAAACGGAAGTAAAATTGGTTTAACTGATTCACCTACATTACACCCTTTTTTCCCCTGATTCTGTTCACTTCCACCCCTCAAACATCATTAATTTCTGTCTACAGAGTATTTGAAGATTTTGTGGTAGTAGCAAAGTTATCAACATCCACCCAAAAAGACTCAAATCAATTACCCAGGAAATTGGCTGGCACGAGGGAAGATTGGAGTGACCAGCTGCCCTTCTACCTGGAAAGGGAGGCAAGGCACTGCAGTCCCTCCCTCCCACACTGGACTGTCTGCAGTCAGTGCCTGCCCAGACATGTTAAACTACAAGCAGAAAGTAGTGGGCACTTCAGCCACAGACTCTTTAATTTTTCCAACACGTTTCAGACACAAAAAAACCCCAACAAAACAAACCCACATAAAAACCAACCCTGATTTACATGTAAAGAGCTGATGTATAATCAAAATACTCAAATTACTCAAAGAAAATGTTTATTGGACAAACCTCACTTCAGTTTTGGAGAATTTTAAAAGTCCAAGAAATAGAGCTGAAAAAAGTCACTCATGTGTACCAGAAAAAAACCCAAACCATAGAAAACCAGTCAGCCATGGACTGCAGCTATTGAGAAAACTTGAATATTAGGCTAGTTCCCTATCTTCTTGCTCCATACTTGGAGAATTATTCAAGGAAGTTCATAATGGGAGGTAAAAATAACTGATTATTTTCTGCAAAGCAAAATGGGCTATTTCTTTTAATTGCTTAGTAATTGTATCATCTCGATATGAGATATGAATGTATTCATAAGCTTAAAACAACTTCTATGGATAATATACATACTTTAAGTACTTTGACTTAAAACTTGAACGCAAGTCTTTTTAAAATTAAAGGTAGAAGTGTACATATAAAAATTATTTAAAACTAAAAGTATATTCTTAAGCAGTATGTATAAATATAACAGATTTCTTTTGTATTATCTAGTAACAAATGCGAAAGTGTTGCAGTAATTTATAAACTGAATGCTGACACAGAATACGTGCCTTTCATTAGATTCTATATTGTATATACATCTTTTGCTAAGAAAACACACATTCTAAATAAATCACATAATTAGCAAAGGTGCCTGAAAGTAATCTGTTCTAAAGTCTTTATTGAACATGTGTGTTTATATACAAATAATGAACCTGAACTGCACAAATGCAGAAACAAAATTAAGGAATAAAATACCATGATTGAATTAAAGTGCAGGAAAAATTCAAGTTTAAAAGTTCAGGTAAGATCAGTGCCATTAATTAAGCAAAAATGAAAAATAAAAGAAACAAAAGCAATGAAACAAAAATTCCCACCCTTCAAAAAAACCCAAACAAACCAAAACACCACCAAAACAAACGAAATTAAAAAAACCAAAACCAAAACATAGAAAGGAAAATAAAAGGAAAACTAAAAGGAAAAAAAAGCAAATGAACTTGCTTCCAAAAATCCTCCTTTGGATGCAGCTTTCCAATCACCTGCCATGCAAGTACCACCTCAGGCACAAAAACTTTGCATAAAGACAGACAAAGAACACAGCTATATATTACTCTACTTTATAACTGACTGTTTGCTGAGAACAAATCACTGGAGATGCCTGTGGTGTAACATTTTCAGACTGATTTGGAATACACACATATTTACACATACCAGGAATCAAAAGTTACGATTTGGCAGGACTAAGGTGAAGAAAAGCTTCTTCAGTTTACAGTTTCTAATGAGACACACTACATATAAACAGATAGGTAGCAGCAGGTAGTTTCTTACTTTCATTTTAAAAAAAGTAATAGCTCAATTGTATTTTTTTTAGTTTTCCAGACACTCTAAAAAATGTCACACAACTAAAATGCTAGTGAAAAAACCAGGGATGCTTCCCTGCAAGGATTTCAATACACTTTGCTGTACAAAAGGTGCACCACCAATAGCACAATAAGATGCAATGATGGGTGTGTGATCGCCTTCCTTCCACTGGGAAGGAAAAAGTAACATTTTAGACTAAAATTGTACATAGCCCCTTTTATTGACCAAGAACCATTTATCTCAAGAACAACCATGCCATTATTCTTCCTATCTAGAAGCATGCCCTGAACACAAGCACCAGAAGAGATTCAACTACGATAGATTCTGTAACACCAAATCAGCCGCTATTCCTCTGGTACTGCCAGATGGTCTCTCATTGCCTCTGATTATTTTGCTTGCTGGTGGTTGTCAAATACATCTTGATGAGAAAGTTAAGTAGGCTTTCCTTTCAAGCCAAGGTCATCTTCCATTGATTGATACCATAATTTGTTGAAGAATGCTTTTGCAATCCTCTCCCCCAGAGCCTGACCAGATTAATTCCCCACGATTCTGTTGCCCTGAAATGTACTTTATTTTCAGCAGGTCAAATAATAATGAGTCAACTCAATTTATAAATGTGAGACAAGGAAGGGGTCAAGTGTCAGCTAGGGTGGGTTTTTTTGGATGTGGTATGGATAGTGGTTTATCTCATTTTCTTTTACCTGAATGTCTCACAAAATGGTGCTAAATAGGCATTAATTAGACACTAAAAAATAAATTAACATGCAGAGGCAAATATTGCATGGCAAACTGAGTTAAGTAACTCAAGTAAACATTGCCTCAGTAGCTATGGGACAGACATATCAAGAAATCATAATACTACTTGTTTGAATTGTCACATTCTTATTTTTTAAGTCCTTTGAGCAGTGGGCATAGTAGAGCATGCCCTTTTACTGGCAACACAATTCAACTGTCTTTTTAAAATGTTGCTCTACCTAAAGTGAGAAAATTTATCCGTTTGTGCTTCAAAGCCCGAACATATTTTTCTCTCATTTGGAAAGTGATTTAAGGAACCATAAGTAACTTCAATATTTTGCATCCTTGAGGTGTTTTGTAAGGTTGCCTTATCTGTGTACCTGCAACATCACTTCACAATACAAATTTAACCAAAGTTTTGCTTTGGGAACATTCGGGAAATTTGTGAAAAAAGTACACAAAATGCAATGCTTGGAGAAGCAAACCTAAGTGATTAATTTCAGACAATGTAGACCTATCAGCTTCTAAGTACTCCCTTTTATAAAACAAAACGAGTCAATGACTATTCCTGATTTGAGAAAAAAGGTCTAAAGGAATTTTTGAAATGCAAGCATTTATTTTAAGGAATACTCTCTTTTAAAAAGAGCCCTAGTTATTCACACTGAGACAGCTTTAGCGCAGTAGCCATTAACAAGTTAGCTCAGCTGTATTATTTATCTCACCCAAATGGAACATTATTTCAGCAATTCCTAAAGTTTTTATGCACACTTTACCACTGCTTACAATGAAAACACTGCTTTAGAGATTAAATCCAAACTTTAGGACAAATGCCTTTAGTGCTGCACGGGGCTGAGACGGGTACTTGTAAAATAGCACTACTGGCAGAACTTAGAGATTGGCTAAACAACATACTGACAATTATAAAGTATTAAATGCTTGCTTGCCATTATTCATGCATCAGCACCTCCATGGTGTGTAGAAGTTTGAAAACCTGAGTCCAAGGCTATCTGATTTCATAGTGAAGGACTAAAGGGGCATCTCGAACTTAAGTCTTGAGCAAAACTATCTCAGCTATTTCAATTAATGGCTGTAAAGATACATTCTGTTAAACATTTATAAAAACTCACAGCATGAATGGAACCCACAGCCAATTCTAAATGTTACACAACCTGAACCAATAACCATTTTTGGCAAAAATAATATTTAACTGAACAGAAGTTGAAGAATTCTTACCACAAGGAAGATGTTACCACATTTCACATTGCACGGCCATAACACAAACGAAAACTCCCAGCATGACACATTCCAGTCATATTATTCACTTGACTTTTTAATGCAAAAATTACGTATTCTTTTGTTTTGCACGTCACAGAATATGATGTGAATACAAGAATACTAGATCAGGGGTCCAAGAAAAGACTATGCACAGGTCAACTATGTATACAATTTTCAATAAGAAATCTTCCAAGCTTCCAGCTTTTTAAATGAAAGAATGACAGGAAACTTCAACTCTTCTTCAACAATAATGGTAAATATAGCGAGTCCTAGAGAGGGCAATTGTAAGTCAGCTACTGTCCAGCAAGACAAACAGCTCGATTCCAGCTCTTGGACCCCTGATTTATTGCCTCTCCTTACAGGAGGGTATAACACTGGCAGCAATTACAATAGCACAAAAACTTTTGGCATATGAAATATTAACACAGGATTGACCCTGCATTGCCCCTGCCCATCTCACCACGATTTCCTTTTACTCTCTTTCCCACATGTTCCAGCTACCTTCTCTGTTCCAACTTTATGCTAACCAACAGCTAAGAAACACTCAAGTTTCTTTTTTTGTGTGTGTTTCTTAGATATAAAGCTCCTCAGTTAAAGCCAGGACTGAGGTAAAACAGTGTGTCATTTGTGCTAGGAAACAACAGTATCCGATGGTGAATACTCCTTTAAATTTCAGTGGTCCTGCCAAAATTAATGAAAAAACAAGATTTTTTCATCAGGACAAAATTAAACAGATGTGATTGATGAGAGTCATCAGAACTGGTACCACTTCTTGTCTTTGTACTTCAACATCATCTAAAAAAACAACAAAAAGTTCTAATTACTGTTTCTGTAATGTGCCAAAATGTACAATGACACAAACAAATAATATGCTTTACAAAGCAGCATGAGAAAGAAGGATTTTAGCAAGATTGCAAACATGTCGCTGAACACTGAGCGTTTAGCATGATGAATTTTCTAATGGTAGCATTATTGCTGGTGAGCTAGCCTCAGAAAAAGACATTTTAGGGAGAATGGGGAGGTTGCACAGGAGTTTAGGGTGTGGAAAGAAGTTGGCATGAAAATGAATGAGAACAGCCATTCTGTGGAAGTCACTGAGGAAAAAAACAAAGTGGCACTCAGAGGGTTTGCATACAACAGGACCTTTCTTAAGGACAGCAGGAATCTGACATAAAACATTACTCTTCTTATTAATTCAGTGACAATAAGCAATTTTTACAGTAATGGGGATTGAGTTGCACATTTAGAAGTTTGCATGCCACTCCAGCAGACTGCATGCTCTAGAGCAACATGCCAGGAGACAAGGCTGTTTCCAGTGAGTACTTAATTGTTAGGAGTGACAAGTGATGGATGAAAAGGAAGTATCCCTTATCAATGATACTGCATGCCCTTCAGATACCTCTAACGTGCCTTTGGCAGAACTCAGTCACCTTGCAGAATTTGCATTTATGTGACAATCAGTTTAATGTTCAGTTTAACATACTCACCTCATGAGCATGTTTTGAGAAAGAATCAGCACTGTAAAGCATAGCTGCAGTTTTCTCTTCCAGTTCTCCCAGTTTCTGTCCTCTTTCATCCAGTGCCAGCCGGGCTCGTGCCAGTTCACCAACTACACCAGATGCTGCTCCTTTGACACCTTCGATACCCCCAGGTCCTGGAATATGCTGGGCAAGACTCCTTGATGCCTTCCCAGATGCTGATTCTCCAACTGGAGGCATTTGCAAAAGCAGCAAATACAGAATAGTAAGTTTTTCTATCATTGCTACATAAATATCACTGAAACTAGTTTATCTAGTGGTGTAATTTCTTTGCACGGAGACCAAACAGCTTATTTTAGGTATGACTGAGCAACACTCACTACGCTATGTTAGCAGATGTTTCTACATTAGAACTGAGGCATTCAAACATATTCTCAAGTTTCCAGGTAGGTCATAAAACTGTAAGCTCTTCACAGCTCAAGTGTGAAATTAGAATTCTGTTGTTCATCAATAAAATTGTTGAAAAAACACTTCACCAGCACAATATAGCTAATTTAATGAGGAATGTGTTTTGAGTTCAACAGAGAAAGCAGGGTATTGAAATATTGAAAAGTTATGGTTAGTTCTGGAAGTGCTTTGCTGGTATGTGAGCCAGCCAGTGTGATTCCACCAGCAGAAGTTTTTTTTGATGGAAGCATGCAGACACCTGAAGATTAGGTGTCAATGCTACCATTATTGTAAAAACCTTGCAAAAAAAAAAAAAAAAAGGAAAAGGAATGTAAAACCACAGTATGGCTGTAAGAACCAATCAGCACAAAAGGTCAGCTGAACATCTCCAGACTCCAGTGATAGCACTGACTACATTGACTTTTGCTCTTTATGGCACGTCAGTCACCCAGTTCAATCTATACACTTGATGTGCCAATATCAAGCAGAACTGTACAGACCACAGAAATATGAGTATTTGTTTCAAACAGTGAAATATTGTTTGAATATTTTCTTTTTTTTTACCTCCAGGAAAAATAATATTAACTGATTAAACACATTTTGATGCAGTATTTCCAGACTCTCTGATTTGATTTTATGCTACTAAGAATAATTTACATTTAAATTAGTACCATAAAGATTTTTCTGTGAATTCCCAAAACAAAAAAAATAATTTCAATTATTAGATTCTGCTGTGACCCTCATGGTAAATATGGCTACATTATTCTCAAATGTCTTTTGAATTGTCATTGAAGTCTCTGTCAGGCTTTCTTTCATTCATTAGAATTTTTTTCTTCAATTCAATAGTATTTTCTTTCTAAAGATCCAAGCCAAAATTTAATGGTGGAAACTTGACATGATATAAAGAGGTAGCTTCTAAAGTTACACAATATTTTTCCTCTGTCTCATTCATATTAAATTATAATTTGTGCACATAAATTTCTCTACTGGAATACTTCACCAACCTTCCATAGTATTATATATACATATATGTATATAAAAACGCACAAAAAAGAAACCTTTGACACAAAAAGTGACCTCTAAATATCTGAGAGCTGCTCAAAATGTAGAGGCACAAGTAATGAAGTCTAATTTTTATTCTACAGAAATCAAAAGAACCACCATAAAAGAAAGGATTGGCAGGGCACCTTGTTCATTTTGACAGGTACATTTCACATTAATAAGAAAAAGGTTCTTAAAAGGAAGCTTGCATTATATGGTGTTGCATCTAGCAAATATCTAAATAAATAAGTGAAAGCTATTTTCCTTAAATATACTAAAGTGCTTAATGCCATCACAATAAAAAAAGTAATCAAAAAAACAATGAGAAAATTATAAAGCACTGAAAATTTTGCCAAATCTGAATTTTACTGTCCTATAAACAGAGGACTGAATTGAAATATCATACAGTTCTGCCCTTGCTGTCATTTCTAAGGCATTTCTGCACAAGCAAAACAAGGAAAATCTGGCAAATAAATGAAGTAGAGTGAAATTTTAATTTTCTCACTGTCCAGAATAGAATTCTCCAAAAGCAGCATAGAGAGAATCATGGTCAGTACTACACGCTTCATAAAGATGAATAAAAATAAGATTATAAAACAAGAAATGGTTATAAAACAAAACCAAAATGTTCTAAAACAAAACTCATATACTGCTGAATAAATGAGCTAAAAGAACCTGTTAAAAAAAAAAAAAATCCATGCTTTTCTGATCTTGTTGGTAGGTTGTACAACACAAAATCTATGAAAAAAAACATTTGTCACTGCCTATTTTACTCTCCTCTTCACAAAGGTAATGTTCTGTGAACACAGGTAATACATTCACCAAGGATCACTAGGTTCCTTGGGAAGAAATACCAGAAAAAGAACAATTAATAATAACTTACAGAGTTCTTCTCTGTCAAGTGATTGTGCCCCACCTCCAAACAGGCCTTTGAAGAACCCCCTGTTTGGTGCTTCTGGTGTTTCTACAAGAGTGAAGAGCTCACCCAACATTTCCTTTGCAATGAAAAAGAGACAGAACAAGGCATAAATTATTAAAAATAATGAAATATTCTTTCACTTTCTGGATTTGTTTAATGGATTTGAATTTCAAAAGAAATATGCTTTAATGAGCATCTGTCTTTACACGGTGATGTAGGAAATAGAAAAATAAAAAACATATTAAGAAATTTGTCCAAACTATCTGCTTCTGATGGTTATAAGCTCAGAGCTCATAGAATTCAGAAGCAAAGAAATGCATTCAAGTAAAGCTTATTTGCCCCTCTACAACTTGGGCAAGACTTCTGACTTTGTTCTATTGAAACTGCATCTACAAATACTTATATCCACATAGCAGAATGAAAGTAGAGCCTGCAACTCTGCTGTTTCATTATTCTATACATCTACCAACCTGAAGCATGACTGAGAATTTTTCAAGCTGTTAACACCCCTGAGACATAATAGCTTCCTTCAAATATCCTGAGTTGGCATTCCCCACTTGTGTCAGCACACACCTCCCCCAGTGTCAACTGATCAAGGGAATTTTAATGGCATGTTAAAGGAGGATATTTCCTGTTGATCAAAATGAAATTAAGCAAGAAACTGATTCAGCTACAATAGGATGGATGAAACAAAAATTAAAGGTAGAAGTGATTTATTTAGAATCAGAATCTACAGTGAAAGAAAACAAAAGGGAAAAACAAAAATCAAAGCACAAAAGCCTAAATGCTCAGCTCAGAATGTATCTAAGACAAAAGTGATGTTTTAAAGAGAGTTCATTACCTGAAGATTTTCACATGTTTCTTGGCTGTAGGTGAGCCTCTGTATTTCAGTTGGTGAGACAAGATAGAGTGCTTGTCCATTATCGGTGAAGCAGAACGTTCTGGCTATCCGCATGTTGGTGAGTGGCAGGTAATATACATCCAACAACGGCCTTAAACTGGGCAAACTTAAGGAAAAGAATTAAAACCCCATTAAATATAGCAGAAATGTCTCTTATTGATCAAATGCTGATTTTTAAAATGCAATATATAATTTTTTCTCTTCACCATCTGCATGATACCACATAAACAGGTATCATTTAATGATATTACAGAATCTCAAAACATCAGATTTTTCAAGGCAGCACCTCAAAAGTGAAATTTAAACATCTGCATCACAGATGCATTAAAAGCATTTTTTTAAAAATTATAGTCTGAGCATGTAAATCACAAATTCAGTATTTAATGAATTAGGCATTACTTAATAATTACCAAGGTATTTTGATAAGTATGTACCAGGCGTTTACAATTAAACATCTTGTCTCTTCTCCCAGGTTAATAATTTCTCCTTTACTAAAAATAAAAGTCTAAAAGATCTCTCCTCAAGAAAATGTAGATATATTACGAGTGTGCTGTCAAAGGAAAGCACAATACAGGAGCTTCAAGCAATTTTATTAGTTAAGTCCCCCTTTTTTCTCTAACTAGATGTTGAAGAGAAAGTCCTCTTAGAGCAAAGTTTGCTTACCTTGTACTTTTGGATTCTATACATGTAAATAACTGCAGAACTTACTGTACCAATCTACTGAAGAAGAGACAGCACACTTGGGCTAGAGCAATATTCCCCTACCAAACAGTCCTGTCCCTCAAAGTGATAATAAATGCAAGGGACAAAACACCTACTTTCTTGACCAGTAGAACACAAAATAAACCACTGTCTCAAACATCCCCTGCAAAGTTCTTCTAAAAAAATTACTAAAGTTGTTAGCTGCCAATGTCCCAATAATTCAATAAACAGCTTCTGCTGCAGACACATCCACATAAGGTTATTAATTCTAGACACTATAAAAGCAGTCAATGGGGAAAACTGAAGTTAAAATCTAAAAAAGATGTAGTAACACAACAGTATCAGGCTGTTTTCTTTTGGTTTTTTTCTTTTTCTTTTTTTTGCATGATGCTGAAATTGCCTTTGGAGGCAGGTTTCAAAAGTGAGAAATAAAAAGCAATATTCTCTTGTAGCATATCCCACAGATATGACACCTCTGCCATGCATGTCTAAAATAAGAATATTCCTAAGAGTCAGTAACAGGGAAGTGTTTTGCTTCAGATCAATGGGAGCATAAAACATTCTTACAGCTTTAAAACACAAAAACATCAGATCAGATAGGACAAGTGTGATATCCATGAGAGCATTTTCATCATTTCTGTTACAGATTTGTTTGTTACTAAGTCCTATCTGAATTTATTTCAGTAGTTAAGTATTGGGCATCTTGGGTATGACACAATGCTCTGACAACTTTACATGAACTGCACACAAGGTCCATCTCCAGCAGCAATTCATGCTTATGAAATGGAGCTCAGCATTGGAATCCTGCTTCCCCACAAAGGAAACAATTCAGCATTTATAATTTACCACTTATGTAGAGTTCATTAGAGAATAATGTGAATCCTCAAGAAGACAGGATTTGTTTCACTATTTGATATCTGAACATAAGTTTAGTTTTAGTAGGAAAAACAATACTGTTTGCCCTGCAAGGTGAGCAGCATTTTTTAGAGATGTTTAGAATACTTAAAACATGGGATATATACCAATGGAGTTACAGACTTACATACTACAATTAAAAAACAAGTTTTGATTGTATCAGTTTTAGTTTTACTCCTAACAACTTCCTAAAGAAGTATTTTTTACAGAGTTTTCCAAGGTGAAAGCTTCTTTTGGCAATCTTAAAATAATCTTTTAGGAATTTTACTGGCATAATTTGATAGGGCCATGTTCTACATTCATCTTATCATCAGGCCACAACTAAACTGCAGGCGGAAGCGTTTAAGTTTATACACACTGCTGGTTCAGAATAAAATAGCACTTAAAAACATTTAAGATAAAGCACGTGAAAATTACATAGGTGACCTGTAAGTATATTTAAACACTACTGCTACAACGACAACATGTTTAAAGTCATAACTTAAACCCCTTACTTAGTACTATAAAATTGGCAGTTTATCCTGCCTTCATAGCCTGGGTTTGAGCCTTTAAAGCACGAGCAAGCTACACGAGAAAATATTGAGGCATGAGTGGGACGCCAACAGCTGCACAAAAATAGGCAGAGTTCTGGTCAGGTGCAAGCTAAAGGTCTGACTGAAGGCACTTTTCTCCATCAGGAAGTAAATTCAACTTTTAGACAAACTCGAAGTCATGGACCTATATCACCTGTTTGGAACTGTGTGTTGAATCAGTGTAGCTTGAGCTAAAGTGGTAAACTTTTTCATGTGTTAAAGACATAACTAACAGGAATGTGCAGTCAAAATTATTCAGGCTCAAGTATTAGATAGAATTAACACTGACTGAATGTAATTTTTTTAAAATTCACAATCCTGTGGAAAAGGAACTTTTCTGTGTAGGAGAGGACTATTTCTTTTTTGTATTTAAGTTATTATCAAACAGGTCTTACCTAAAAGTCATAATATGTCCATTGGCACAAAAACATGCAAGGCAGATACTGTTACTCAACGACACTATGTCTCCACGAAGAACAAAAGAAGTCTCTGTTATATTTTGCTTATAAATACAGTTCTGGGATGGCAGTGAGATAACTTTTGCTTGCTTTTCCGAACATATCACTGCATATTGGTTTTCACTGATTTCCTGAGAGGAAGAAGGGGACACTGAGACAGGTCGTCGCTTTTTTGCTTTTTCTTTTTCATCTTTATCTTCATGGTGTTCTCTCCAGGTTTCATGTGCTGGTGGGACCAACGATCCTGTGGTGTCCAAAAAAGCCATTCTCAAGATTGCCCCTTTTAGCCTCAGGATGGTTCCTAAGAAAGAGTAGTAGAGCACATTTCTAAAACAGTTCTCCTAAATTGCTTTCCAAGCTACCAAATACTCCTTTAAGAAGCTAGGAAAATGAAAAGAAGAACTTCAGTTTGCCTCCCTAGCAAAACAGATGTACACAAACCTTGGGCATTTATCTAAAAACTAATGAAGCACAAATGTAATCAGGAAAATGTTAAACCAGTTTTCAAGGGTAAAGTGGGTGCATACTCTTTTATTAACTTCAAGGGAAATGTATTTGTATTTAAGTTCAGTGTCACAAATGCAACTCATTTAATTATCTCCTGATGAGTACACAGTATATTTAATATCAACAATAAATGTTATCAGTCAAAGGTGAGCACCATCTTTTCCTTCAACTGGTTCAGAGACAAGCATGTGCAGTTTTTTTATTTCTCCCCTGCAGTTCACATTTGAATCTGCTTCTCTAGCTTGAAATGAAAAAGTATTCCCTCCTTACAGTTCAAATCACTGTCTCTGTAGGCCAGACCTTTAGCAAATCAATTTTATTTTACCTTAATTCATTTACATGTAAGTAACAACATCAACATCTGCTAAGTCCAAAATAAAAAGCAGTATCTTTTAAGGATTATGCTGCAGATGCAAAGGGGAAACACACTGCCTAGCCTGCAGCATTGCTTTTATGACCAAATGTTACCAAATCTGACCCCTGCTGCCAATCCCTCACTCAAGGGCACAAATCCCATGTATGGTCTAGATGTCCACTCCTCATCATTCCTAAAACCAAATGGCATTGCAATTTGTATGTTTGATACCATCTGTGTAGCAAAATGGACTAGAGCAGCATGTTCTGCATGAGAGTGGTAGCAGGAAAGCTAAATCTATGACTAACAGTCTATCCAATAAACCATGAATACAAAATTACAACAAAATTAGTGGCTGTGCATCAGAAAAACAAGATCCAAGACCTTTCACAGCAATTCAAAGGAATATAATTATCGCTAATATTTCAAGCTAGTTGTTCAATTTACAGCCTTAGTTTGCACTCCCTTTTTTTTTGCTGCAGGAAAACTGATTGATTCTTACCTCATGACTGAAAAACAGTAATAAAATGAACATTTGATACTATTAAGCTCTTCTGCTATCTCTGTTAACAACTACAAATGGTTTCTCAGCAAGCAAACACTAAAGTTATATTTTTTTATTTTATGAAATTGTACTTACCATTTTTCCAATTTACGAAACTCTGGTAACAAAGTAACCAGTCTAGCTTGTTAAACTTACCAGCTAAATAAATGCAATATATATTTTAAATTAATCAATCATTGAAAAGCAAACCCCAAACAGTTTTTTAAAAAATAGAAAGAACAACAACAATATTTTATCAAAGCGTCCTTTAGCCTGTCTGCTTTGTACATACCACTGGGAGAAACAATTACTGGCTGAAGAAGTCTCTGCTCTCCTCCTGGGGGTAAGTTCAGTACAATGACAAGCACTGTACCCAGCGTGGTGCCAACCCACAGGCATGGGGAAGGTGATGTATCAGCCTTTCTTGTGAAAGTCTCACAAAAATGAAGAGCTGAAATTGCCTCGCGTGACTCTTTATCAATGCTAGTTACACTAGAACTCCGGGATCGACTGAAAGAGTTGTCTTTGACATCTGAAAATAAACCAGTATTAATTAAAAAGAATGGCAAATTGGAGGGATTAAGAGAATTTAATTATTTTTGTTCTTTAGCATCAACTGTCTACTAACTATAACGCTATTGATTTTTGTACCCCTATCCTTCATAAGTCACATCTCCTCATTCCCCAATTTCCAGCTGTTTCTTGAGCAAAGCACCCAATATTTGTTGCAGAGGTTGCCATTAGATAATTATAATGAAAAATTTGAAGGCATATTTTTGTCTTCTAGAGCCAGAGAATAATAGTTATCAAGTGGTACTCCTTTAAAAAGCTGAATGACAAACCTCTCTGCCAATTAGTTCATTGAGCAGATGAAAAAATATTGTTTTTTTCAACACAGTTAAATAATCTTAAGAAGATACAACTATTTTACGTTAGGAAATGCAGTGACATCTGCACAGCATAATAGCATGGGTCCTTGTAATGACCCACAATATTGTTCCACTTAATGAAACTGTGTGCAGGAGATCTAACAAGCTACTTACACACCCCCAAACTTTAGTGAGGGGAAAACAAATGCTACCAAATGCCACCTGGCACTGTTCTGCAAAGCTGAATATTTCCACTGGGAATGCTGTAGCATAGTGCCAGTAATAGCACTAAAGCCCTTCTGGATATCTTGCTCACTGTTTAGCAACAAGTGAATTCTAATGTTAACAAAAGTAAATTGCTGCTCCACTCTTGCTGCATGCTGTCTGTAGGTGGGGCAATACCTGATACATCAGCGGACACTGAATTTATCTATGCACTCACATATTAATGCTGTACTTTCTTATTTCATAATTGCAAGGTTTTAACACAAGACAGCCCTCACCAGCAAAAGTTGGATGCAATTTATATTACGCTTTAAAAAAAAAAAAACCCTCAAAAAATCTTTTGAGTAGTGTATAGATGCAATTGACATTTTAAAGCAGGATTAAGAGCTAAAGAATAACATTCAACCATGTACTATTTGGAACTACTATGTTAGTTTCATTAAATTATTGAAAAACTTTCTACAAAGACTATCTAACATGCATTTGGAAAACATACATTCTAGATTTCAACTGACTAAATACACACATCTACTTAACACAGTGAATCTTCTGAGGAATTTCCTCATTCCAACAAGGATAGAAAAAAACCATTGTCCCGTTGAATTTTAGCTGTCAAATATAAAACATGGATTATAGGAACTAACTCCACCAGATGTTGACATACTAAGTTTTCACATTAAAAACAATAAATCCAGTGTAAAACAATGAAAAAAATAATTTGTTTTATAAGTCTTCTAATGACCACCACCTCTTATGATGCTTGGTTTTTTAGGCTTCAGTATTTACTAATTTAATTTTTTTTCAATTTTAACATGGATCAATCAGTCTGAATATAATCAATCATACAGTAACTACAATAAGCATAGCTTTACATGTGCATTTGTGCGTTCTAGCTATTCGATTTGAAGAACATGTGTACAAATTCCAGAAGCATTGGAATGGACAGGAGAAAACCAATGAAAACTAACTTGTTAGACACATGGGCATTTTTGAGAGTGGACAATCCATTTGGAAGAGAGAACAGAGAGCTAAAAGTTTAACTGCTTTAGTTCATCCTACTTATCCTGAAGTCAAGGAAGAAGTTTGTAAATGGATTAGGTTTAGATGAAGAGGAAGGAACAGCAGTGTGATGAATCACTACACACCACCAGAAGGATGGACAGATGAGGCTCTTTTGAAGAAGCAAAGCAAGGAATAGCACCTATGGCAGTAGCATCTTAATTGCTGGATTAGAACATTGAAAAGCAATGGTATAATGCAGACAAGGGTATGATCAAGATAATTTCTGTTTTAGAAAGCAGAGAATAAATACAGAAACACATAGTTTAGATTTTATCTGTTCAGAGAGGAAGAGAAGCTGGTTAAAGATCCAAAGACAGAAAATTTGAAAGAACAAGATCATGAAAGAGTAGGTTTAAGAAGCCATGGAAAGAATGAGAGACAATGATAAGGATAATGAATTTAGGAGAAAGGCATTTCTGTTGTCTCCTACAGCCCATAGCTATGGCCACATAAGTGACAAAAATACAAGCAAGCCAACACTGAAGAACACTATGCAAAAACTGTATCACTACAAGAAAAGATAGAAGCAAAATTAAATGCAACTGCTTAAAAAAGTGATTTACAGATCTGAAAATCTAGAATAATTTTACACAGAACAAAATGAGGTGTCTAAGCACAGATATTCACATACATGCAAAGTCAAAACCAGTCAAAAGCTATTGCAATTCAGAAGTTACAAACCATTTTATGAGTTCATCAGAAATGATGTGACAAAAAACCCCTTCCATTATTTCAGTAGAAGAAACAGCAAATATTAAGTGATGTAGAAAACACTGTAACTCTTTCAAGATTGGAAAGTGCTGAAAAAAATTCAGCATTCACTTTTCACCAGTCTTCATTAGGAAAAAGCAACACTTCCAATTATTGCCATCAAAGAAATGTGAGCAGAACAGCAGAATTACAATTGGTTGATACTTAAGTATAAATGTGTTCCAGTTTGCCAAGTATGAAATTCACCCTATACCAAAATTATCCCTAAACCATTGGTGAACATAGCATAGAACAACAGAAACATATTGAAAAGAGTTGTCAAATTCTTCAGCTCTTCTGTGCCAACATGGCCACAGTCAAACTGCTCTAGTTCCAGACATTGAGCTTAGAAAGATGAGGACAAATTCCAGTTCCAGAGGAGATTAACAGAAGCCACCTCAGGGTTAGATAACATAACCTAAAGAAGAAGGAACTGCATTCTGTTAGGAAAATAATTCTGTAAAAATGAAATTAGAGATATGATGACAGATTTCAACAGCATTAAAAAATGACTAACAAAGATGGGGAGTATGTGTTATTCCTGTTTATTGTGCAAAGGACAAGAAAAAGTTAATATGGAAGCAAGCAAGTTGGATTAAGTAACAGGAAATCTGTCTAATTAGACTACACAACACTGAAACTTTGTCTGGTATATTTCTAAAAAACTTTTTTATTAGAGGCTCATGAATAGATCAGAGGTTAAATTGTCCAAATATCTGTATCCCTGCCAGAGGATCCTTGCCAATCCTTGGATAAAGAATCCCTGAGAATTGCTTCCAACTTAACATTTCTCTGAGAGGGGCAAGCTGTAACTGTAAATCAGGGTGGTCCAGCTCAGTTTGAGAATATCCTAGTGCCACGGACTTTTCCCCTTGTTGACAGCAGCAGCACCTGGCAAACACACAGTGCTACAGCTCCCATCTGATCCTGGCTGTCTTCTGCTGGGCTGGTGGTGGCAATTCTGCTGCAGAGAGAGGAGCAAGCTGTGGCAGGCAGAAGGCAGCTGCATTTGTAACTACAGGTCTACAGTTGTGCCCCATCATCTTTAGAGAACAAGTCAGAGGAGCTGGACCTGATCTAACAGCTGGCAGTCAAAGTATTTAAAAAAACTCCAACCAACTCATTTGTACATTGTTTTAGGCAGCACAATGACCTTTAGTACCACAGACCTCATAACTGAACTGATCCTTAAAAAGTTACAGTGCATTTTCAAGAAAAATAAATTCTCAGACTGGTCATCCATCCAAACAGCTGTATATTGCTTTACTTTAGAGAGAGTGGTCACAAGACAATTAACATTTATAAAATTATGCCCAACTATTCGTTGAGAGCACCTCAACATATCCAGTTATTTCATTTTTCAGTTTAAAGTGTATCAGATGGTCCTAAACAGGAAACAGCAGTTTTCCTAATGCTGTCTGCTTATTCATGGTTTTGCTATCACAGCACTACTGATAAAGTGAGTGACAGATACGTTAAAATTATGATGAAAGTGTGATAAGCCATATACAGGAATTGCAGGCTTACCTTACGATGACAGCAATGACATTTTGTGCCTGAGAGTCCCCAAAAAGAGTGGAATTAAAATTTTATTTCTACACTTCAGATAAATGCAACATAAAGTCATGATAGCTTACATAATTCAGGCCTCTTACTTTAACAAACTCACATTCAGATTTAGTAAAAATAAAATCAACTATATAAACTTACCTAAATCAGGCTTTAACTCAGTTGGCAAACTTAGCTTCCTGGACATCTTTGCTGAAAAGTGAAGTATATCTTTTTTTTAAAAAGAATAAACATAATTTTGCTGGTCCTTATTTGCTTCTTTTGCAATATTTAATACATAATTATTTATTACATTCATTGAGGTACTTTAAAGGATTTCCACTAAAGCAGAGTCTCACTTCCTCAAGTTACAACTAAATCATAGAAGACAGCAAAATCCCTAAATACAGCATCTTATGACTTTGCTGAGCTTGATTTCTCTTCAGGCTTCAGGCAGGACTTAATGGATTGGATGAACTTGGCTTTGGCTCAACCTCAAGTTTGAAATCCTCAGGTGAGAGGTCAGAATTGCAAGGACGTGCAGTGATTCTTACAAAAAGTTAAGATCCCATCCCCCTTTCTTATGCCCTACTTTCTGATCAAACCTGAGACATTTAAAATAGACAAAAAAGAACTTGAAATTACACTACAACTAATGCACATGTGTAAAAAGATAATCACCTGAGAGAAAATCCACAGCCTGAGAACCATGAAGACATTACAGAGAATAATCATAAAATCAGCAGTGTACAAATACTTGCAACACATTCAAAAAACCAGAAAGATTTTGAAAATACTGCTCAAGTGAAAAACAGCACTTCAACTCATCCCTGACTTAGAAATTATTTTTATAGGATTGGAAATCTTGCAGTCCATTTAAACTGTAGTACAATACAAGCAAATGCTGCTACAAAAACCATCAGAAATAAACTAGCAGGCATACATACCACTTTCATCTTACTTTCAGTAATTACTGGAGAAGGAATTATTTTGATATAGTTTATCTGCTAGACCAGGAATACACTCTAAAATTATTTCTCAGCCACATGCTTCTGCTTTGATCTATCATTTTTATGATCTTGCATGGGTAATACTTCTTTTCCTAAAATAGATAGTGAGCTTAGCCTCATAATTCTAGGAGTACCTTGTAATAGGTACATCTCAAAGCAGTCTGAATTCTGCTGCTTTTCTCTGTTAAAATTGGAGTTACCTCATTCTAATTATCACTTCAACAGAAGTCATTCCTATTTCTTCATACCATGAAGAACAGCATGTGACTTAAAATTAGTTCCACTCCTCCAAAAGTGAAATACTTCACTTTATCATCAATTATACTCATCAATATTGAAAATTCTAGTTATCTGAGTAGTTGAACAGTTTTATTCCTGTCATACATCATAAAAATTTGAGAACAAGACTCCAGAAATAATCTTCTAATTTCCTTTATGTGTCAATGTTAAAAGTATGCTTGAATTAAATTGAAATTACTTACTCTCAGGCAGAAATGCTAATCACCTATTTTAGTGCAGGCTGAAACTAAAAGGGCAGCCTGACTACGTGCTTTGTATCCTCATCCTTGCTTTAGCACTGGCAAATACCTAACCTAATGGTGAGGTCAAAACTCATCTAAATGAGGTTTCTGCCAAGGGCTGCTTCCAAACAAGATCAACTCCAATTTCAGATCAGAGCTCAGAGACAGGAACAGAAAACCAGGGTACACAACAGCGGTAATGACGAGGAGCCCGTCTTTTTGCTGTCAGCTTGAACTTAAATCAGCTTCTGGAGAGATCATGAAATCTCATCTGTAATAGTGAATTTCAGGATGGGCATTCCTCATAACACTTGTTTTCTCTGTTGGACATTTAAATAACAAGAGCTGAGGTACTGAACAAAGCCTCAAGTATGTACACACAAAATAAATGGAGCTATTTTTGGTTTTTAACAGCTTTCATCATGTGTAAATAACCTATTTAACTAATTGAAGACCAGTACAGTCACTCTTGGCTTTTCAAATAGAAACATTTGGCACAATCTTGACAACTGGGAGAAAATGGACAAAAAAAAAAATCCAAAGTTACAAATAATAGAACATGTAATAGCAAGTATGGACAAATGTGTTGGATTCTGAGAGCTGATCCAGTTTTAGCTTTTTGTTCCTTAGTGAAAGGCCAGCTGTGTGAACTAAGCTGGTAAGATAAAACAAATTTGTCAGACAATTTTCAACACACACTGAACTATACCTCATTAATAGGACAAGAGGATACAAGATTTGTTAAAAAGGATATAATTACTGGAAATTGTGAATTACTGTGCTATGCAAAAACCCCCAACATTTCAAAACATATGTTAATGTGTCAGAAACCTCAATAATTTAAATGTAAATGAGAAATAAGAACCTATTTCAACAGCAATGGTGCCATCTTGTGTTTAAACAAAAAACTGCCTAAACATGCAGTAAGAAAATAGGAATATTTCACCAGCTAAGCCCTTTTTGACTAACATTATTCAATATTAAAAAAAAAACCCTGCTTGCATTCACATTGGGTTAAGGTTTTCAATTTTTGATAAATTCAGGTTTTTTATGCCTCAGATGAAAACCAGCAACATGCTAGATACCTTGTACAAAGCAAAAGATATAAATCAGAAAAATGGAAGATACAGGATGGAGAGCTACAGAGACAGCATTCAATGTCAGGCTTTTCACTTCAGCTGCACAACAGGGCAGAGGTGATGCTGACTGCTCCTGCTGCACGTGGCTGACTTCAAGTAGCAGCTGTCATATCAGAGTTCAGTATCTCCCTTGTTGCTGCAGCATTTACAGCCCAGACAGAAACCTGGGAGCAGTTGTGCTCCTCCTGGCACACTGCTGCTCAAGGCAACAGTGACTGTTTTGCCTGGGTTTAGTCCTACATTTAATATTTCTCTATATTAGAATACCTAGAGTAATACACAGGTGCACACACACATTCCCTCAATATATATAATTAGGTATCATATTAGAGAACTGTCCAAACCCAGGGATTTTTGGAGATTTCTCACAGGTCAGGCTTGGGAAGGTAGGTGTTAAAATATGAAAGACTGCCTTTCCATAAGATGTTGTGTGTCAGTGTAGCAGGAACAACCTTCAATTCAATGAAGAAAACCTGAAGGCTGAGAAGGCTTCTCACTAGGAAGCTGTGGCTTAGAAGCAACAGTCACATTTCATTTGCAGTGGGTTATCCTGAGCTGATGCTTTAAATGCATAGCACATCAGTTTGAAAGCTATACAGTGACTTCTCCATTCTTCTTATTTTAAAATAAAATTCTAAAGATTATAAAAGAGATGTGTCTTGGAGCTTTGACAACTTATGAAGCCTATTTCATATAACATCACACAAGAAATAACAAAGCAGATTAGAATTTGTTAGGGACATCAAAGCTCCCTAATAATTCTATATTTGACAACTACACAAAATGAAATAATTACATTACCAATCAACTAATGTTGAAATCTCTAAAATTCACATGAGAACAATAAAACAATTTTATAAGAAACTGTATGAAAACATGTGCTTGGATAAATCAAAAATTGGATCAAAGTATTAAAAACACATTGAAAGAATTGGTCTTTGACATTAGGGCAAATAAGAACTTATTATGAACATCCTAAAATTTGATTCCATGAAAACAGCTGTAACTGTCAATTATGATAGCAGTGTTTGAAAAATTTAGGTATACGCTTAGAATTTAAGAAATGTGAGACACCTCTGTCAGTATTAACAGCATGGATTACAAAAGTTTGGAACTAAATCTACTCTGCTTAAGTCCGTCTAGTAATACTTTTTGCAATTCTTTTTAAATTTGTAAAGTGCAGGAAATAAATAAGACAAATTTTCCTAAGAATTATTTGACCCAGGCTACTAGTGCAGTTATAAAGGTTTTAAAATCTACCATATTTTGCAGGCACCTTTACTAAAGGTTTTTCCAGAAATGGTTGTTATATCTTAACTTCCAATACAATTTGTAGCTATAATATTTAATCATCTGCATCTCTTCATGCCAAATACTTAATTAATCAAATTATGAGTAAAAAAGCTGAAGGTTTTGCTTCCACTGAAGTTGGATCCCAATGTCTTTCTATAAAAATGTCATAGCCTTAGAAAATAAGTACTTTCTTCCTGTAAATTCATTTACATTTAGTATATTCCTTCATATTACTTCACAGGATATTGTTTATACCTTCAAATATGTGATATCTATAAGAGAATGGGCTGGATTCAGTAATGGCCACAGTACTTTCTAAAATTTCTAGAAATGTTTAGTTAAATCAACTATCTCAATATCTCCAAGGAAACAATTAACTATGATTTTTTCAAGGTTCATCTTTGATGCAAATAAAAGGGAAACATGACCCAAAATCAACACATTCACAACAGGTCTTTAACTTGACTTACTATCCATTCCTTAGCACAGAGCATTCACAGTTGTGTATTTAGAAGAAGACAACAAACCAGGCCAACTTATCAAAATGTTGGTGCATGAAGCATTTGCATATTGTTTTACAGAAATCTGTAGAAATGATGATGCTTTACATCAGTTGCAATAAATAATAAATTAACAATGGCTTCATATTTATAATTGTGTGTATGATGTTACCACCTTGCAGCCCTACCACTGAAATGAAATTACTTTTTCCTTTGCTTCTTGTTCCCATTGGGAAAACACAGGCATGATATTAACAGCAACTGAAGTTACCAATGGGAACGATTTTAATTCTGTTTTGCACCACATTTAGCAGGTTGTATTTTACACATTGACAAGGAATGGAAAGACCTTGAACTGACTGCTCTGTGTGCCAGTGCAGAGAGCTATGACCATGCCATACACATCAAATACATCTAATTCATCCCTGAGAATACAGTTGATGGCAAATAATTTGTTTCATACAACACAGTGATGTTGATGACAGTGACATATTTTACAAAACTCATCGTCCATGCACATTTGGTTGTCAATTCAGTTTAAAACAATGAAAAGCAAAACCATGCAACTATTAACACAGGAAAGGTGTTTTGTTTACATTAAAGAGCTTAGAAGTAAGTTCAGAAAGAGCTAGAATAAGCATGCCAGATATAGAAAACATGGTAGCAAAACAACCACATTAATGCACAGCAAACCACTCAAAACTATGAAAATGCAAAATAAATAATTATCTTTGGGCTTCCAATAAACTCTGCAAATTACACAAATCATAGTATAACTTACACCCTGAAGAATGCATTGCTTATAAATAAATGTTTTTCTTTTTTTAGCTGTGAAAAACATTTCAAATACTTTCAGTTGAAAGGCTTCCAGCTGAAACAGATGTGAATGGCTCTATAGAATCCTCATTACCATACTTTATTAATGCTCTAACATAACTCTTTGAAAATAAGTGGAAAAAAATAAAAAGAGGTCACAGTCAGTCAAATTTTCCATGTGTTTTGCACAAGACAGTGTGTCTTATGTTCAAAAGAGACAAAAGGGAAACATTACCTCAAAGGACATTGATATAATACGCACAAGATTAGGTCTTGTTTTTCTCATGGCTTTCTCAACCTGAACATTAGGCTCTAGTTACTCTGAAATTCCTTTAGGGGAACATATTAAAGCTCATGTAAAAGACACTAATTTCTTTTTTAATTACAGATGAATTCACATAATGTATTATTGACAGCCATTTGCTTTCTTGACTGATATTCAGACTTTTGCTGCCCCAAAATTAATTTTCCCTGCTATTTCTGAGGTCATTGCAAGAATGTCTCAACACAGGGCAAAAATATGCCTTTTGTACAGTACTTTCTCATTCTGTACCTCAGATTTCAAGAATTAATTTGCCATACTCCCAAATTCTGAGTGATTCTTTGTCTCCCTGAATTCTGAATGACTCTTTGCCTCAAATACTGAATTATGATTGAAGGGATTAATATTTTAGGACAAAATTTAAATTGCCAAACAGAAAAACAAAAGGGAGACTTCAGGAAAAGAAATCTCTTCCTCCTTGGTCTCAAGCTATGATTCCACACGACCTATGAAATAGTAGCTTAGCAACTAGTTTTACTTTATAATTTCAACCTAAACTGACTGAAGAGAAAAAATGAAATTATTCTACAATGATATACTAATTTGCTAAATGAAAACAAAATGAACATTAGCAAAGTCATTCTGCAATCAAAGTAACCATACCCCAGTTAAGGAAGAAGAGTCCCTTTCCCAAAGACAAATCATACAGCCTGTTGCTTTCATTTATTTAATGAGCCAGTTGTCAGAAGCAGAGTTATTTCCATCCCAGCCATGAAAGGGTTCAATCTACCTGCATACAACATATCCCAAGGCAATTTTGTTGCCAAATTAAGACACAAGTCTAGAGCTGGTAGGGTATTGTGTCACTGTTGGATGCAGAAAAGTAGACAGTTCTGGAAGAGCAGCAGGGAATACTTATATAAATACAAGCCAGTCCTCTTGCATAATAAATGAAACCATGATAGTACCTCTTTCCTGACCACAGCCATGTAAAAATCTGACCATATGGCTATGAATACAACATATAAAAAAGAAATGGTATCAGCCATATGTTTCCAAAACCAGCACATCTTCGCAAAAGTGCAATCACGTTGTGACTTGTATAGACTGAACTCTTACTATGCATTAGAATTTCACCCATCCAGAAAAAGAGAAGTGAAACTGCAAAATCAGAGAATTTAAATCACCAATATCCTTGATTTTTTTAGATTATTGTGCCCAGTGTATTTAGTACAGAAGCAGCCCATAGAATAACCAAGTAGCGCAAAGAATGAAAAAATTAATAACAGAATGCATTGAAATTTGACTGTTATTTTGCCTTTTTTTTGCTGTTGGGTTAGTGCTGCATAGAGTAAGGCACTGAATTAGAAAGAGTAGATTTTTTTCTAGTTCCTACCTATGTCATTGGTTACCATCTTGGAAAACTTTCTGCTTTTGGTCCTCACTGTAAATAATATTATAATTAAAAAAAAAATCAATCTAAGTGTATCAAAAGGTGAACTAAAAAAATAAGACTAAAGAAAAGAAAAATACTGTACCCTTTTCTATAAAATTATTCATTTTTTGTTCATCATCAGAATTGTTTGGTGAACCAGAACCTACAAGTGGAGACAGAATGAAATGGATATACATTTGACATGAATGAAGGAGATATAGCTTTGACACAAAAATCAATGTATATTAATACACTTAAGATATACATATATTATACAATATATGTATACATTTAATATACAAAATTATATTCAAGATCTGAGTTTAACAAAGATACAAAGAAAACATCAAATTCTGATATTGGTATTCTCTGTAGCTGTATTAGATATTATAAAGTACAAATTACTTAGGCATGACACAATTCTGGCATACTGGAATTAGCCACAGAAATTACAATGCAAGGTATAACGCTGCACATTGAGTTTATTTCTAGAAATAATGCCCTCATTGAACAAATGTTTATACTAAATAACTAAATGGCTCTACTAATCATTGCTCCAGACACAGAGATTAGCCTAAGTTATGATTCACAAAACACAGCTGTAACAATAAAAACAAGTTCTATAAATCTGGTGGGGTTTTTTTCCCCCCCAATGCAGTAAATTACTGTTGGACCACAGTTCTTGAACTACTCTGCAGACAACTGTAGGCCAATAGTGCCACCTGGATTTTTCTGTATCCCTACCCTGAAAAACTGATCTTAGCAACAGACCAGAGCTTCAGGCTTACCATTGTCATGGAATCAAAAGATTGCCAGGAAATTAAAACAATTTGTCTAAAAATTTTAAAATTTAATTGGATTTTATATTGTGGCAGTGTGAAAAGAGAATAGAACACCAGTATCTTGGCACTTCTGAAGACAAAAACTTGACAGTTTAAATGCTGTACAATCTTTTAGGTCAGATAAATGTTCCCAGAGTCTAAGCCTATTGCTGCTTGACACATATAGAAAAAGCAGGAGGTAAGATTATTCCTCCTGCATTTTCACAGTATTTCTATAGTTCTGTGTTCCTGAAACTGTAGGATACTCTCCTAACTTGCATAGACAGGCAGTCCCTTTTGCAGTCCTCTCATCTATATAACCACCCACTGGAGGAATCCTAATGGAAGTTACCTTCCATTTCACTTGGATGTGGAAAGGTGGATTTGAGGCTTCAGTCCAAACAGTGACTGGTATCTTTTACAGATCACACTGTAACAATGAACACCAATAAAGCATTCAATTGCCAATCTCATGCTCAAATTTTAGAGCTAGTAGCACGCAAACATTTTGTGTTTGTGTATTTTACTCTTAATTAGAAAACCTCTAGACTGCAAAAAGTTTCCTTAAATTTAGCCTCCATCCTTCTTCTCAAGCTTGCCAATACTCTGCAGCAAATTTCTCAAAGAGGTCCTCTCTTACCTCTGAAAGCTAAATGCCACTTTCAAACTTGTTTTCAGTCTTGAGTTTTTGCCCAGAAAAGATATAAAACTCAAACCAAACCTAAGGAATTACAGTTCTTCTCTCTTCACAAACATCAACAAACTATTCCCATCCCAGGGTGGTTCATCCAAGACTTATTTCAAAGGAAAAGTTGAGAAGTCTACCATAAGCTTAATCTAATTCACTGAGAGCAGAGGACAGAATCAAGGGAAGCAAGGCAAACCCAACCTCGCTACTGAAGTTTCTATTTTACAGGAGAATGCAAGAGCTACATTCCCCCTCTATCTTTTGTGCATTCACATTTTTTGGTACTTTTTTTAACCTTCTTCACCTCACACTCAACTCAAACAAGCAGGAGGAAGGTAGGGGAAACCAATTGTTAAATTTAGGCGTTTTCCATAAACCTTAATTTTCATTTTTGCAGTTGTCTTCCTTGCACTGTTGCAGAAGTGCTGAAATTAGTTTTACTCTACCTCAACACTCAATTATGAAAGAATCTTCTTGTTTAAACAACACAGTGTTTTAAGTAGTGTAAGTTAGGAGTTGTTTGGGCTAACATTTGGGTGATTCTGGAGCAGGGGAAAAAAGGATACACTTTAAAGGTTATGATCTATTAGCTGTTCATTGCAGACATTTTATAGCAGTGTTCCAGAACCTATATTTAGCCCAGACTTTTCAAGTGGGTCAAATTCAAATAGTGAATTGATAACTATGCTCAACCTTGACAGACAAAGGATTTACTGCAACTGCAGCAATGCATAGCAAATTATTTACAGGCATTGGTCTCAGCGTGTAAAAATGAAATAGAAAACATGCTCTTTATTCTCAACACCACAAAAAAAGCTTTCATTATAAACTATACTGAAGTTGATGACTTCAGCATGCCAATACTTAGCAACACAGATTTGTCATGAAATGACATCTTCAGGCAAGACTTTTAACTAAAACTCACAGCTAGGTTGTGTTTTAATTATAAATAAATCAAATTTACTCTAAGAAAGCTAGTAAAAACGAAAATTACATTGATTGATCTAGAGGAGTGTTTGGCAGAATTTATAATGAACATCAAAAGACAATTGTCAAATCAGAAATTAAAATTCATGTTAAAATTTCTGCTACTGCTACAAACACAATGTTTTGGTTTGTTATGTTTTCAATTTGGCTTTGAAAGATACAGGCTAAAATAGAAAAGGAACCTATATTAGACTCCCATCTTAATTAGCATTTTACATTACATACTACTTTATGTGCTTCATTTAAATCTGCAGTTGAGTCCTTTAACCTTGAGTAGTTTTGAATGAAACAAAATGAAATCTTTAAAAGTTCTCAGAGCAATAAATAAAGATAAGTGACAAAAACTACTACAAAAACTATTCAATCTATACATTGACATGCATTATTAAGTATTTACATGGTTATAGCCTCAACTAGCCAATATAAAAATAATAAATCTTGAAGGTTTCATTTAAAATATTCACATACAGCAGTGGCAACTGGAAAACTGAAAAAAAAAAAAAGGGTGCAGGAGGAGGAGTATTAAGTAAGGAACTCTTATTTTCTTAGCCTGCTGGTTTCTGAAGACCTCTGATTCCAAAGAAAAATAGTAATTTGCCACTTATGAGGAAGCAGAAGTAAACTTGCTCAGAAATAATCTCTACCACTTTTGAGGAATATGAAACACAACCATACGAATTATTACAGGAATTTGTGCATCTCTTGTCAATGCTTCAAAATTCCATTGTGCAGTATGTTCCCTGAGGCATAAATATTTCAGCTTATTCTCTCTTCAATCATCTTTATAACATACTCCTATTGCATCTCTTAAGCCAGCCTTGTTTTAAAAATGCAGTTGTGCAAGATGGCACAATTTATGACAGTTCCAAAAGTTTATGAGAGGACAACAGGCCTTACATAATTACTTAACTAGTAAGTGTTAACTTACTGCATGCCATCTTCTGGGAAAATAAGAAGCTGAAGATCAGGGAAAGTTATGATTACCTGACGTGGGTGACTTGCAGCGGTCTTCTGGCACCACTGTACCTTCATTTATATCACAGAGACCTGCTGAAACAGAAAACCAATGTATTATAAATACAGCTCCCATTTTAGTTTTACTTCCACCGCACTCAGGAACTTCATTTCTTATTAGAGACAAACAAGCCAGTTGTGATAGAATTTCTGTTACACACTACTCTTTTTGACATTACCCACAGTAACTGTAGAGTTACTTCTTCTTACTAAAGCTTTCTTTGCAAAATATACTCTCTCAATAAATTTTAGTGAAAACCATTATATTTTCAACTAGGCAGACTTATCAGAAGAGTTAATTATTTACATGTTACAGGAATGTATTAAGCATAAACATAATTCGTTTTGAAAAAAATGCATCATATTAAAATATGCATCATATTAAAAATGTAATTGCAAAAGAAAATCATATAAAAGAGGGTCCTGATGATTGCAAACAGGATGTGTGAAATCACAGTGCCTTTTTCAAACTAATTTTCCACTGTTACACTGATACGCCTTGTATTTGCCAGTTTGAATTACCAAGATAATTTTCCAGAAAAACTCCTTATTGGTGTCACTTAAAGAACTCAGGTGTTATGGTGTTGATAGGTGTTCTCCCTTGCATGGAAGAACTTGACTAAATATCTTACAGCATCAAATCTGATCAATTTGAATAACTGCAGTATGTTAACATCTGAAAGGTAATTCCTTTCATTCCACTGAAGGAAATAAAACCTAGTCATACACAATCAGATGCAAAAGATGGAAGCTGCCTCAAAATGGTCCTAAATATTATTCCATTGCATAAATTAAAAGTATACAAGAAATTTTTTCTCTTTTTTTGGCAAGAAATTGCTGTCAAGACTGCTCAAAATTAAGAGAAGTGCATTTTGTTGATATTTTAAAGTTAGTAATGCATCTTCAGGTTTATATAATGAAGCTCTCCTACAGAAATTTCATTATGTGATACTAAGGCAAACAAGCATGTAATACTGAACAGTAATAGCTAAGAAATATTTGCTAAAATTACAGAGTTGTGCACGCACACAAGTATTCCAATACTCAAAAAGTTTGAGTGTTAATGGTAATGGCTAGGGCAAGAAAGGAATCACATGGAAAGCCTGTCTATACAACTGCACACTACATATTCACAAGCGCCTCTGTACATATCTGTTAGCAAACAAAAATACAACAGCTCTACTCCACCAAAGTTTTAAAATTTCCAAACACTTAATCAGAAGTAATAGTTTAAAGGGAAAAAGGTTCTCCTGAAATAAAATATCAATATGGAACACATTAAAATTATGTTACATTAACAGTTCCATTTATCCAAAATAGTCTTTTTTAAGATTACTAAGAGCATGTATAGCTTAAACCCCAAAACTCAATGACTAGAATTGTCAAACGGCCTTAAGGCTTTGTTAATCCTACATTTAACAGTCCTGGAACCAATTTAAATTTTCTAAAATGTCAAATGAAATTCCAGGTGGAAGCTATATATTTCCACTACACAGGAGAAAGAAAAGAGCAATTTATTTAGTCATCTGTCAGTAAATCAATGAACACTATGGGATAATCAGAACATTACACCAGAGTTTTAAACAGGCACGGGAGACTAAATGTTTTGAACTAGACAGGATTGTGTAAAAAGATTTTTGAAAAATCCTGAAGTTGCTTTCACCACAAGCAATATAAGTTTTAGATGATAGCTGTACTGGGAGGATAAATCCATATTGTGCTCTTAGAAGTAATTGCAGCCTCAGGAGCCAAACCAAACAAATTCATACATGCAGTTCAGGAACACAGTTTCCTCCTTTCCAATAAAGATTAATTCTTTACCTTCAAAGGAAGAGTTTAACTTCTTGTACAAAAGTTCTCCTATGAAAATTCATTAATTGACAGCAATAATCTTTAGCCGAGAATGAAGATACCTGCACACTTGAATTCTTTGTAGGAACTCTCAAGGCTATAATTTGATTAATATACATTTTAATTAGTAATAAGAATAAGTGTGCATTGTGGTAATCATTATGGTATGTAAATCTTGGATATCTGTTCATAGCCATTACTGCTATTACTTAGGAGAGAAAAGGAACAAGAATAGATGAAAAGTCATATTAGCTATGATTAAATTGGTAATTAAACCAAACAGAATATAACAAGAATGATCTAAGTTTGTGAACTAGGAGGGTCTGCCTATGACCAAGCTGAAGAAACCTGCAAGATAATCTCTTGCTATTCATCTTGAAACCCCAGGTATCCTGACAGAAGCGCTGGGAGCAAGGCAGCACTCCTGGAAAAATTCTCCGGTTTCAGGTTTATAGTATCCATGCAAATTGCTATGAATTACAAAAGAAAATTGATCCAAGAGTTTCTGTTTCAGAAATACAAACTATATCCTTTTAGAATACCAATATATGTACAAGTGACCTTCTAATAAGCTTTTAGTTTATCTACGCAAACTCTACAAGCAAGAAATTGGAAACTCTCCAAATTACCAAAAATTAAATAATGTCATTGAAGACATCATTACCATGCTGCATTAAAAACTCCACAGAATTACAGCTGAAATTAAATGATATATAAAGCTTCATGAAAATTAGCCAGTTTTTTGCACCAGTTTTAAGCAGACATATCTCAGAAGAACCTACAACTTGACTGAAAACAGTGCAATTAAAAATTACAACTAAAACTAACTTGATATTATGTAAAAGTTAGAATTAAAAAAAACCTGAAAGACAGGGTCCAAAAAACCACCCAAGCCCAACAATAAAACTTTCTGATACAGTTTTGGCCTTGGCTGATGTAAGCCACAGCTGATATTGGTCTCACAACATTTAAGTTAAAAATTCAAATGTTTCATGAGGGAGCATGGGAAAAAGAAGATGACCAAGCAACTCAAGAAGAGTTCCAGGCATGTATTTTCTTCCAGTTTTCTCCACCCTACTTTTTGAATCACTCATAGATTACTGCCAAAAAACTTTTTGATACAAAATAAAAATTTTAAAAAGTCACATGCATGTAAGAACGATTTCATTTTTGTCAGAAACCTAAACTGCCTCTTGTAGAACTAAGAAATCTTGACTTTTAAAGAGTTGTACTAAATTGCACTAATCAAAGAGTCACATAAAATCTTGTAACTCTCACCAACAGTAATTTACAAAAAAAGAGTTATGATTCATGTTCTCTGTGATCTCATGGAACTACGCAGGAAAAAATAACAGCTATATAAGTTTTGGTGTTTCATCATGAAATTATGACCTTATTTAATGATTGATTTAATGACTCCTGTCTTATTTAGCAAAGAATACATCAAGCAAAGCTGCCTAACAGTGTAAGCTCCATCATGTATAGCTTTCATCACACGATAAACTTTTACTTACACATTTCATGTCTTTGGGCACATGGCCAAAGCTGATTTTCTACACCCTCCCCCCTCACTATTAGACTCTGAAGGCAAACTTTGAATTTGTTTTTAACCTTGACAAGCAACTGATGACACTGTCTGGCAGGCCTTAACAAAACACATATACTGCATGCTTCATAAACTATAAATTGCCACCCAAAACATGTGAGTAGTATACCTGGTACGAATCACTGATAAATTCCAAAACACGATCCCAACTGGGAGCTTGTGTCTGTAGAGCTAGCCTGAAATGACATTTTACAGTCTAGCTAGTGTAGAGAGCCTTGTCTCTAAATAGATGCTGCTTTAAGACGGGAATCTGAATTTCTTTTCTGAGTAGAAAAAATAAGATGACAGAGAAATACATCATATTCTTGCAACAAAAGAGAAGGGAAAAAATCTCGCATTTCCATTCATATTTTAGAAGATATGTAACTCTCACTCTACAAAATTTTTTAAAAGACACCTTTGTAAATTTTTAATTGTTTGATTAGGGACATACCATTTACTAAATCTTAAGTATGCTGGCAGATACTGATAATCTATTGAATTGACATTTTATGCTGAAACATACAGAATATCTGGGTTTTTATGAGGAAGGATCAATCCTTCCCACCTTTTCTGGGCTTGGTTGAATGTACAATAGCAATATCCTGCTCTGTTGCAGGCTGTCTGACTGCATATGTAAACTAGTATGATTTTTTTTCCTTAAATACACTGTTGTTGTCTCAAAGAACAGGAATTTTCTAAACCAACGACATTAGATAGAAAAATACTTTTTCTAGGAAGATTTAAATATCAAGTACTAGTAGTCCCTGAAGATGACTAGTTGTATAGTCATTGAAAATATCTTATTCATAGATAAAAATAATTTTGAAGTATTAAAATAGAAATGTTTCCAAGATAGAGATTCAATGAAGTCACATCTTTCAAAGCAAAAAACAAGGAAGCATAAGCTCCTTGCATTTTTGGAAACACTAAATGCAAATAGTGAATGTCCAAGAAAGGGAGAATGCAACATCTGACTATCTCATATAGTTCCAATCCTATAAATAAATCAGAGGGTAGTACTTAGATGTAACAGACTCATTATTTGTGGAAAATTGTTGAAGCAATAATTGAAGTCTGGGCAACACATACACTGAAAGAATTACAAATAATGAAGAATGCTAAATGATAACTAAAGAAATTATTTTCAGTTTTTAAACCACTGTAGCTCCAGTTAACCGAGATACTTTCAGAATGGTAAACAGAAAGAAAATTACATGGTTATGAAATTAACTCTCAGGTACAAAACTTGTTTACACTTATTCCTAAATAAAATAGTCCAAGTAAATACAGCTTTACAATATTTACTAGTTTGGGGATTTCTACCCATCTTGTTCTTTTTTTCAAAACAATAACCAATCAGTGCCAGATCCTGGTTTTCAGTTCTGTATCATCTTAAGGTGGAGGCATTTCTTTTATGCCTAGCTCCCTTTCTGACATGGCAGTAGAAGAGGAAAGACTATAGAGAAAGCAGTATTTGGCAATTGAGACTATCCTCTGAGATGTATTTATTTTTTCTTGTTGGGAGAAGAGAAATGGCAGAACTAAGACTTGGACCATAATTTCAAGTTTGTTTTGCAGTTCTGTTTGTTTGTTGTTTTACTTTTTTAACTCCATTTTTACAGTAGCTTAATCTGCTCTACTTCATTAAAAAAAAGGGCTGAGATTACCTACCTCTGCCTGGGGGCTGGAGAAAACTGGCATCCTAAGAAAAGGCACAATTCTATGCTTTTAAAAAATAAGCTTTACATTCTCCAGATCCTTGGATGCTGTGAATGATGTCATAAATCAGACTCTCTTGGGTAATTCATGGTTCTGATGGCTTCCCTTCCTCACACAGATACCTGAACTTCAAAACTGCTTGGAAACTGAACAGGGCTGTTCCCAAACACCTCTTAATCCCTATAAACAACATTTTTGTAGAAGTAACTTTTCACTTTTACAAGAAGAATCTCTCTGTAATCACAATGTTGATTCTTATCATTGCTACTAATACTCTAACTCTGGACTTCTGAAGCTTTTTCTGCCAGAAAGGGAACCCAGCAAGGAAAGTTTCTAGTAAAATAACACTAAATTTTTGAGTAAGATCTTAGCTCTATAAACATCCGCAAACTCTGAGATAGGATCTCCTTTTGATTTTGAGATTTATTTGTTTAAAAACCCAAAATACAGAGACTATTATGGTTGCTTTGTTCCTTTAAATTTCTTAAAGATATCACGAACGACAAATACAATGGATGCAGGATGGATTGCAATCAGTTTCTATAAGTAAAACAATTACTTAAAAAGAACCAAAGAAAATAATTATGGTGAGTGAACCAAACAAAGAAAAAGTCAAGATCAGATGTTCAAAAAATAGTTGAATGCCATGAGATGACTTACTTATATAAGAGGTGCGAAGCTTTTTCACAGACTCTGAATATAAGTTAGAAAGGCCGCACATGCAAGAAGCCACAGTCAGCATACCTTCATGAAGCAATGAGAAAAGGAAAGACCGAGACACTAACAGTACATTTGAGACAGAAAAGCCAGCTAAGTAACTTGTACAACCAGGTTATTAAAATGCCATTGCCATGCAGATTGTTAGTATCAGAAGTTAAGATGAAAAAAATATGACTTCATATAACAGCTATATTAATGAGCAAAAAGGGCTTTCATCATGAACATCTTAGAGACAGAGTTGAAACACAGAGTTATGTGAATCCCATTTATTGGATCAAAATAACGACAGTTAGGAAAACAAAAGCAAGTGAAGTTTAAAGCTCCAAAAGACAAATGATAATCTATATGCATGAGGCAGAATTTAAGCCCTTTACTCCCAGGACAAATTAACACAGTCAAATAGTAAAGCTATTTCTTTCTCTCACAGTTTATGTCACACAAGAAAATATTTTTTCTGACAGGATACCGACTGTGTATGCTCTGCTCTGTATGAATGATTTTTACATCCAATTGCTCAGATGAAATAAGCTGACTGGTGTTAACTGGATCTTTTTCAAACCATTCATTTACTAAAATACCTCCTAGAACATCAATTTGAATAAAATATTACCCGAAGAACTTACAAGGACTTTACTCTGGATCTCTTAAAGAAATTAACAGTCAATCATGAGGAAGGGGTTTTTTAACAGCTTATTATTATGTCTTGTGTTTTCTGAAATAACTTAGGAGTATCCATGACACATCAGGGAGAAGAAAATTTTAAAATACTAAATTTTCCTTCTGGTTACAAAAAGCTTTGCATTTTGATTGAAAAGTCACTTTCCATTTTAGCTGAAAAGGAACATTCTTCAGCATGTTTTAAAATCAAAATCCTTTTTTTCTATTTCAAAGAGATTTATTTTATCAGTTTGTGTGTAGAAGTTTATTTTGTTCATTTCAATCAAAGGTTTCTTCTCAAGCATAACATAACAGTATTAACAACATAACATGGTTTAGCTCATCAGGGACATTTATAGTCAAATTTTAAAATAGGCGCCAAAAGATCCCAGCAAACACTCAGGCTATCTGCAAACATTAATGGATTTATACAAACATGTAATATGGGTACTAGCTTTATCAGAAACGTCAGGATACTTCCTAATGCTGTGTAAATTCTTGTAAACTGCATAAATCCATTGTAAATTTATATTTTTTCTTAAAATACACATTACCCTGAAAAATAAGTGATAGTGTGAAGCATCAGTAGATTTCACTAAGCAACAATTTTTAAGGAAAGATGAATTAACAAACCGCAATAGTGACATTAGCAACAGATCAAGAAGAAAGAAAACCACAGCGAAGAAAGTGTGCATTCTTTGAATACAAACAAGGACTAGATTACCAACTGTGCCTTTCTTCTGAGCTTAAACTAAGTTTTGGGTTACCCACCTCCAGATGGTTGCCGGGTTTTTCGGGGAGATCGTGGCTCCCTGCGGTAGGGATCATTGGAGCCATACAGTTCAATAGTGCCTAGATTCAAGAGCACTGTCTTCTGGAGGTAATCAACCATGGCAATACCATTACAGTTTCCAAAAACTACTCTGGAAAAAGAGAAGTTAAAGGAAATACAATGCTAATTAAATGTTGGTAATGTTTCACACAGATATTTTTTGCAGTTCAGCATTTAACACTTCCTAATTTTTAGGAATTATCCTAGATTACACTTATTTATAAATTTTTATTGTAGAGTGCAATATTGATTAATTGTTCTCTTGTAAAAACATGGAGCCAAGTAGAACAGATCACTGTCAGTGTCCTTGCCAACCCATCTGACACAGAGCCTTAAGTGACACTTACTCTTGGCCGTACAGTGCCAGGTGAGGAAGAATGATGCTGATTTGCCTCTGCTGTTAGCATCATCACTATCTGCCATGACTCAAAAGGAATTCTCTCAGAAGCACAAGAAACTGATTACCTGTATGTTGCTGTGCAGCTCATGTTAACACACACAGAGACTCAATTTTAATGGATAGTTTCGAACCACTGTGATGGAATAATGAAAGAATTGTATAGAATATACTTACAGGCCATAGGCAGAGTTGATGGCTAAGCTGGTTATCTGTTGAGGAGGTTCTCCACTCACCCACACCAGCTGGATAACAAGCTCGATTTGGTAGCCTGGAGACTGCTTGAGAGGAGAATTTTTGACTCTGCAAAGTAAACAAAACATGGCGTCCCCAGTGTCTCAAGTTTTTCCTTATAGAATCGGAGTTCATTAAATTCTACACCATGCTGGACTTTAAAATCTTGGAAAATGGTAAAAACTATTATCAAAAGCAAACAAGAGCTACCAGAAGAAAAAGCCACAATGAAACTAGGAATTCACTTCTTTTGATTCACTACCTAATTGAAAATTAATTGAACAATGATCATATATTTTTAATTTTTTTCAACCTCAAAACAAGGCATAATAGTGCTATTATGCTGTATTTCCTTTAATAGATAAAGGTACTCAGTCAGTGTCTAAAAAAGAAGGTGTTACACATTTTTTCAGAGTTTCCAAAAGAATTCTGATTTAGAAAACTGAGGGGGGTGAGAGGTGTATGTAGAATAAGCACAAAGAACGGGAAACAGAAGCACAATTTATTGAGATAAATGCAAATAAAAAGCTGACGATATGGTAAAACCAAAATGAAAACAAGGAAACTATTGTAATGGTACACCAATTGTATGCAATGAACCTGGGACTGGGGGAATTGAAACTCCTGTAAAGACTTTGTTTGCATGCTGACAAATTTACGCAGAAAAGATTAGATCTTGCATTTTTTTACACTAAGAAAATTGTGCAGAACAAGCTCTTGTGTCCTCAATTCCACTTATTTTACCCATTTATTCTCACTAATGGATATTTGAAATTGATATTTGAAAAATTATTTGAAAATATTTTACATAAGTTTAGAATTTTCCAATTTTTCTACTTAGGTGAATTTCCTTCAGAAATACACCTCTCCAACTCAGTACAATCAATACAATTTGAAAACCCTTATCCAAATAAAGCAACTCTATCAGAACTGTTTTCTGGATGGATACACTCAAAAAAATTAAAATCCAAGTTGGAATCTTAAACTTCAGAAAACAAAGTATATACTTAACTTTATATCTCTAGATATGCATTACATATTTCTTACATTCTGTTAGAAAAAGTCATGGCTCATAAGTCACACAAGGCACTCTTGTAGGAGAGTAAAAAAGACTTTTTCAAACCTATTTTCTTTAAATGGGTAAAAGCTCACACAAAGAAGCTTGCAGAAAAAGCTCACAATTTAAAAAGATCAAAAAACTTGTCAAAGACCTATAGTGAGAGGACTATTAGGCATCATGCAAAGTGAGGATACATGAAAAAGGGACATTTAATTGATTCTGTTTCCAATACACAAAGCTGTTCCCTTGCAAGACTTTCAAAAAATAAATATATTTGTAAGCCTAAAGAGTTAGCACTTAGCTAGCTATCTGTAAGAATTTTCACTTCTGATTTGCTTCTAAAGCTTAAGGCTCTGCAAAACTAACACAAGAAACATATTCAGACATACTTGGTCTAAAATTAAGGAGAGCCACAAAACATCAGCTTTCCTATTCATTTCAAGGACAATAAGATATCCAAGTGGCTGAACTGCTGCTATTAAAAACTGTTTGCTCTAAGGCACTATCATCTGTAGCTATACTAACATCTATGCCAAATTTTCCAAAAATCAGGGAAACCAAAAGACATGGACTTTTTTTCTTAAGTCATCTTAAAAAGTAAAAAAAATTGAGATTGCAATATTTATTTCTTAAAGCAGAGCTCAAATTATAGATGCTTAGAAAACTCTACTTTACAAAATAAAATATTTTCACCAGCAGTTACATGTCTATAACGATATCACAGTACACATACTCTGACATATTCTCACAATGTTTCAGACTCACTTGAAAGTGTAACAGAATAAACTTACTTCAAACATGGGACATTATCACGAAGCCCATCAGATGAACTGCTACTAGTAGATGGATGAGACTGGGGAACAATGGGTTGGGGATTGGAGCCTGTGCCTGGAGTTGGTACAGGTGGCACCTGCTCACCGTCTGGAGTTTCAACATCATTTATTTCATATAGGAGACGAACTTCCAGCATCTGTTAATTAAAGGAAAGAAAAATATCTGTAAAGTACTGCCTTTCAAAAGACTGAGTATGAAATAAATGAAGTGCAACTGAAGGTAGTAGTGATAAAAGTGACATCCAGAACTTTTCCATCTTTTGAAAGATAACCATCCAATAGAAAGTGTAACAAAGACACATGTAGCATTCAGAAATGCAGAGTCATACTAATACAGACTGAATATCTGAAGATTGCTAGAACTTGAATGTCTGATGTATTTCCCAGTTTTTAAAAGTTTGCTTCTTAATAGCGAAATAAATTAAATACTGGACCCATTTAATTATCATTCTGCTGACTACATATTTAGTTATGAAGATGACTTGGTTTATGTACTTCAGGAATGGTAAAACAGAGCTAAAGCCACACAGACTGCTAAATTTTTAGTGATGTAATACTGTACACATGGTGGCTTAGTTCAGTGTTTGATGTGTTGAACTGGATCATACATTTTAAAGAACTGTAAATTCATCATGACTTTAGATTTCCTTCTCCAGCATCTGTAACAACATCAGAATTAACTGCAGTGCAGTGTAAAGGAAGCTTTCAACTGTTTTATCATCTGCAAAATAGAACTTAACTCATAGACTATAGAACTGTATAGTATTTTTTAAAATGTCGAAGAGTACTCTAGATTAACTCAATTTAGGCTGATTCATAAAAACTTAGAAAAAAACCTGTTCCCTAAGAAGGAAATGTACTTGTACATAAAAACAGACGAAAAAAGCCCCACACCTCAGGTTGTAAACTACAACTTACATGTGAGCAGAATAGCGGGGGGAGGATGTGTGTGCTGGAGAAAGGAGGTGAGAGGAAAAAAACCAACTACATTGCAATTAACACTTAGAACAGGCAACATTTTATAATTAAATGTTAAGTTTTTGTTCATTCATTCAAATACATAAATTTTCATGTGTGTATTTCTGATTTAACATGAAACTTCTCAACTCTTGTAATAGAATCACTGTATCTTATACAGAATAAAACAGTGACACAGCAAAGTTCTTAACAGATTTCAGGCCATGTTTGGCACATTTTTATTCTTCTAGCTCTGCATACTGCATAAGTTTTAACAGGACAGATGGTAATTATGAAGATTCAAGGGATCAACTCCCTAAAATCTTCAAAATTCCTCAACTCCATGGCTCATTCACTTCTGTTATCATTATACCTTTGATACAGACAAGCTTTGATCCACTCTTTGTTTCCATAGAATGACCAAAGAATGATTATTGGCTGAAAAGCTTCAAAATGTCACTGAAAAGCATCTCTGTGTGCAATATTTACTTTTGCTGAATTTCATAATTAATTACTTTCTCTCCAAAAACCCACACCTCTGTTTCGAGTCAATTACTTTTGTCCATTTCACTAATATAATTAAAGAAAAAAACAAACAAAAAAAAATTGCTACAACAGTCTTATTATAGCTAAATCCTACCAAGTTAAAAAATGGTCATAACTCTTTACCGGAATGACTTCTGTTGTCACTTCCTGCTTGCTGAACCTGTAAATAATGACATGTGCAGAAACTCCAGCTATGCACAGCATTCTACTTTCTGGACACCATGAGATGATCTGAATAGCGTATGGATCTTCATCTACTATATCTGTGTTTGGCCTGTCATCTTTATTCCGTGATTTTTCAAATACTTTGGCTGTTTTTAGCTTATAGAGTACTTGCAGCGTTACTAGAACAAAGCAAAGGAGAAAAATCAGTTTTGATCTAAATATATAGCTAATATATTGATACAGCTAATTCTTGAATTGTATCCTTCTCAACTGGAATTTCAATTCTGTGTTAGATTTTTTTGCAACTGTCTACATGCTGATTTCAAACTTCACCAGCATATTGTCTAATCCATGGCCCAAATTACTGCTATAAATACTAATCACAACATTAGGAAAACCTAAATTATAGCATCCTTTCTCCTCTTCCTTATTTCACTGGTTTTACCTGAATCACATTTCCCTAGTTCATCTGTAAGACTGTCCTATTAGAAAGACTCTAAAGTTTTTGAATCAGTATAGAGGATACTTGCAATTTCTCCCTTAATAGGTTTATTTATCTGTTTCAGAAAGAAACTAAGTATCTTTAACAGAATCTCCTTTTGACAGATCTATGCTGAATAGAATTTTTAAGTACACAATCAAGCAGGTTTGGCTTGCCCCCCCTCCTCTCTCCCAGGTTCCACTCCCACTCCAAACCGAAATTAAAGATCTGTAACACTCCCAACAGTCCTCCTCCCAGCTTTTAAACATATACACTGCATCTGCTCCCTCCCACAGCCACACACGCTTTAGCCTTTTGGAAGCTCACCAGTTTTCCACACGTTTTTAAAGACAACTGATGACGATTCCAAGATTGCTTTAAACAGCCTTTAACTACCAAGAGTAAGCTTAGTTCCAACTAGAGCAACTCAAACATCAAACTTTGTGCCATTTCTACTTTGAATTCTTGCTGCATTTTTCACTGTGAGCTGTGTAGAATATCAGAAGTAATTGGCCCTTTAACTGAAGAGAAAAAATCTAAAACTGCACAGGAAAAATCTCTACTGAAAACACTTACTTGCTGATGCATCCCAAAATTTAATTGATCCATCAGCATGCCTATGAAATATAAAAAAAAAATTAGATGATGAAATGATTAGTTGGAGTGCTCGACCTCTATGGGAAAGTACACCATTAACATTCTATTGTTATTAGTCTGTTTAGTGACACTTTATTTTCACAATTTGTTAAAAGCTGATATTTTACCAACATGTGCTCCAATTACTTTGGACAGAAGAGACTAGAAAAACATTTGAAAGGAAATTTCCTGATGATCCCACTGTAACATATTCATTTACCATTTTAAATACTGAGGCATACCTTACCATGCACTGCTTTTTGAAAGATGCCCTATATTAGGAGCAACACTTGTAAAGAAGATGCCTAAATATACAGTATCCCACTGTTAATGAGTCACCTAACTTGTTTATTTAGCCTTGAGTTTGAGAATCAGATGACTATATTTTTTCATGACTGTCTCAAAGTCTCTGCAATGTGTAGTACAAGGTGACAGTAATCCTGATTAGGGCTAATGAGCTGTTCTAAAACCACTTTAGTAGTCCTCTCACTTTCAGTGATTCACTGCACAGTTATAAATTAAATTTCACTTATGTTCCTTACAGTAAGGAACTGTCTAGTCCTGGTAAGGAACTGTCCTTACAGTAGTAAGGAACTACAGAAAGATCAGTCTCAAAATGATCAGATTTAAGTATTTGCTTGTCCTTTTTGAGATAAAAAATTGGCTTCTCTTTGAGAACTGAGCTCAATAACTACTTAATGGACCTACCATGCTTTAAAACAGTACTCAGCTATTTTCCAAAAATCAAATACTAAAAGGTAATTTTGATCCAAGATGTCCTGCAATCACAATAAATAAACGAAATAATAATAACAACAACAACAACAATAATAATAATAGTGTTGCCTGTGAAACACCTGCTATCAATCTCTTATAACCTTCCCTTCCACATTCTGCTTTACTTTCTCAGTAACACGTCAAGGAGATTATGCCAAGGAAATGTCTGGTGATCATAGTTTCATGAATCTCTCAAACCACTCATACAAAACAATATTTTACAAGAGAAACAAAACACTCCCACTTCTAGTTAATGAGCTAAGTTATTAGTTGACTATGGTGTCACTTACCCTGTAATAATGATCTCTGAATAGCTCTGAGTGATCACACCCCAGTTGCCTCCACTGATAGGCCATTCCTGGAAGATTAACAAATACACTGAGGAAGAAAATATCATACAGTGCAAAGTTAAGGCAAATTACTGCAGATCCTCCCCAGACATTAGCCACACATATCCTCCCCTGCTATTAGTCACTGTCAAAGGCAGGCTAAGTCAGGTGTAGCTTTGGTCTTAGTATGGCCACTCCTGATATTCAGAGCTTCTGGTTGTCAGTATTTTAAAATAAAAACGTGTAGTAGATGTTGTACCTTCTTGCTGTAACCTTGACGCTTCTGTCGAGCACCAACTGAATAGAGTGCAGGTATGAGATCCACAGGACAGTCAGCAAAATATTCACAACAGGTAACCGGAGACTCATGTATAGTCAAAGGATAGGGATTCTCAAAGATAGGATACCTTTAAAAGAAGAAAGAGGCTAACTGTTAATCTAGGGAAAACTTTTTTTTAAAGTGCAGAACACAAGTAAAATGCTAAGGACTAAGCTGGCATTCTTTTTGTACAGAGAAAAATACATGCATATCAAATTAGATCATGAACAAATACACTAGACAGCTTTACTGCTCATCCAGTACACTATAAAGATAGCGTAGTTCTCCAGATGGAATCTAAAGTTTGTACAGTTTTTAGAGTTTTTCTAAAACATTACTATTCCCTGTCATTTTATATTTTCAAAAGTGTACTAATTTAGTGGCCTGTGGAAAAAATTAAGCTGCCAAGTCTCAGTTGTGGTAACATGGAACTACAAATTTATTTCTAACTCTTCAGTCTATTTTTCTAGCATAGAAGAAGGAAGACTCCCATCTCACTTGGTATTAGCACACTGTACTAAAACAGAAAGTTGTCCAGCATTTTGCATGGACAAATTTTGTTTAATCCACTTGCAACTCCAAGATCACTTTCTGAAAATTACAAATAGGAATACTCAATTATGAGTTAGAAGAACATACACACCACTACCTCCATCTGAAAAGTGACAGAGGCTTAATGAGGAAAAAGGCCAATCGTACTAACAGAGGTAAATATATCTGTGTTCAAAGAACATTTATCTCCAGAGAAAAGCATGCTATATGTTCTTTTCCCTTTTTTATCTCCCCTTTTTTGGTGGAGGTGAAAAGACACAGCTTCTCAACCCATCTCAAGGAAAAATTAACAACAACAGATGAAAACATCCTGTGCATCAGGAACTTTATACAGGGCTATATGGAAAGCTACAAATATATTTTAAAAATTACACTCAGAAGAGGCTTAACTTTAACAAAATGTGACAAATCCCGGAGACAAGGTAAAAGGAAGCCTGTAGATTTTTTTGGTATTAATTTTATTTCTTTTTCAGGTGTCAAAAACCTAATAGTTTGCAAGTCAACCATAACAAAGACCACTGCAAAAACATAAACTGCTGAAAATCTTTTAGCATGAAATAGAATAAGCTTTAACATTACTTCAAATTTCAGGCACTTCAAACTAAATATGAATGTTGACACTTCACACTATTGGTATATCAGAATCAAGTTTTGAATACAGCATACGGCCATGTAACATTTGGAAAACCTAAATGAAATTGCTAAATAGCTGCAGAGATACCAGGACAAAACTTGATCTTAAAAATTCCATAGAGTTTTTATTATCTAAGGTGTCACCATTGACTTTGAGGACAAATATTTACAGGATTTTGTTTTGCCTTAGAAGGATGTTCTTCACAAGAATTTTTCTCCATTGACCATTGGAGATTTTTAATCAGGAACAGTACCAAGGTCTTAGCTAGCTCCTCTGCTCCTGATCCCTTAACAGTTAGTAGTTATTGTCCACACAAATTTCAATACCCTTCATAAAAATATTTTGTAGTGTTTAGAATTTTTAATCACCACTAATAATAGTGTATGGACTACTCCATGGACAAAGCAATAAGAGACTCATGATGTTTTAGGCAGGTATTATTTGTGAATACTGCAGTAGCATACTCCTTTTAAGCAATTTCTTACCCCAGATGTAAACCAGACAGTAGATGTTATCATGCAAATTTTATATATATGATATTATTGCATCAGTATGGAGTTACTTTAAGCAATACAGGTAGCAATTTATTTGGCAATAAGATCAGCAAATATTTAAGTGATGACAACAGCCAAAATTACTTGGGTTATCTGATCAGTTCTCCCTGCTGCCTTCCTCAAAACTGCAAGATCCCCAAAACTTCAAACTTCTTCAAACTCCTGATGTATTAGGTTAGACTAAAAAGCTATAAAGCAGAACAGTAGGCTGATCACTGGAGCCAATGATTAAAAATGAAAGATGAAAATTAAAAGATTAAGAAGATTCTTACCCATTTTGTGCAAGGTCAATCAGTACTAAGTCTTTTTCTAGGAGAACAACTACAGCATATGGTTCCTGAAAGTCTGAAAACAACAAAAGGTTACCTATTGGTAAATGGAGCCCATGCAAGCACAGCCTCAAGAATGGAATCAGTGCTTGCACTCTGGCAGCTGAGATTACGAAGTCACTTAGATTACTACAATTTTTGAAGATATTTTATACACGCAGACTTCTCAATCATCCAAGGTAAATTTGGAAAACTCATGTTCTTTTATTCAATATTCTCAACAGTTCAAATAACAGAAAAAGGAGCATGCAGAGTAAATTCTATAAGCAGGTTATATGAGTGAAAGAGCCAACTTCTGAGTAACATCCTCCCATCCCTGAACTACTTTTGCTTATATTCAGTGGAGTTTAACTTTTACTTGCTCACAAAAGACAGCTGACTTGATAGTAAAATAAGAAACTTGAAAGAGTTTTCAAAGTTTAAATTGCCCTCTTTCAGCCAGATCTCAAATTCCAAGCTAAGTAGTTTAATATACTCTGATGGTAGCTGACAGCTAAAACCATTGGAATCATCAGCAATATAATACTATTCATCTGAAATAACTACCTAAACTACGGTAAGAAATCCCCTGCTGTAAAAGAGAGATTACAGGTTAGTTTGAAATCCATCTAAATATGGGAATAATAAAGCCACTAAAACTTTAAAATAATACAAAAATGCTCCTCATGGTTTAGCACTGATGCAAAGGCCTTATGTGCCCAAATATGCAGAGATGCACACATCTGCTCCAGTAACTACAGCTTAAAGTTGTAATGCTTTCGGTCTGCACATGCTTTTGGGATTAAAAAGAAAAAAACATGCTATGAGTAATTGGCTTTTTTCTAGACACAAAACTGGCTTTATAATGAACTATTCTATTCATGTTTTGGCAAGTAAAACACATTTCAGACAACAGGAATAACAGATGCTGCTGCTGCAGTCTGATCCCCAGAGATAAAACAGAAAGACAATAGTAAAGAGTATTCTGATGGGATAAAACTCCAACGATAAGAAGTCAAGGTACAGAGAAAAATCTTTACAGAACCTACCATTAGGATATGGAGTTTCACACAGGGTTAGAAAATCAACGATAGAATAATCCATTTCTAGCACAGCAGTACTTTTCCCATGCATGACTGTTAAACAGGGTCTTCTTCCTACAGTGTCATATGACAAGCCTCCTGAGAGAATGATGAAAGGCTCCCTGGAATAAAGCAGAAGCATTGAGGATCAAGTCAGGATAACACACTAAAAGAGGTTGGGCAGGTTTTGCAACCTTATGATAAAATTCAATGAAATATCATTAAGCAGAGATGGAGTAAAAATAATGCAAACCAGCTCTCATGAAATATACAGCTTGGGTATGTATTTCAAATCTTACTCTAACTCTTGTTTAAGTCAAACATCTCCCCCAAACATTTTGTTGACTTAACCAATCTTTATAACTTCTTGGCAAGATGAGATTTTTTTTTTTAAATTGTACTAATTTAAAGTTGCTTCCTTTCTACTGAGCTGCAGATTCAGATTTGCCAACAGTCCCATTTTCCCATAACATAAAACACCCCAGCAAAATCAGGAAGAAACAGTCCCATTTACTTGCTGTACAGTAATATGACTGTCTTGGAGATGCAACCAACTGCTGGGTAGGCTTTAAAGACATAACATCTGTTCAGTAACTTCACACATTTACTCTAGATGTTTTATCTCTTTTTCCCCCACCACCATGCACAAAATTCAAGACACTACTTTGTCATTCTTTATTCTCACTGCAAAATCAAATAGCCAAGTAGAGCAAAGAAGAGATATTTCTTCTAGTCTTGAAAAGGGTTTAGAAGCTTCCCTTGAAACTTTTTTGAAAAGCCTTTGCTGAAACATGTTTAAATACATCCAAATATTCCCAATATGCACATAATTTAGGGTTTACTATTTCATTTATTAAAAAACAAGATGAAGTAAATATGTTCATTTTACCAGGTATTTTCTTATTTCCTGATTGCTAAGAATCACTCATTTTAATACTGCTTATGCTTGAAATAGGACATAATCCTTTTGAGAGAGTAAACTCACTGTAAGTACACAGCTTACATAAATGTTACCCATTACTGACTATTGCCTGAAATTTCACATTATATTTCTGAAGGAAAAATAGGCACTTTGCATATCTATCAGTTGCCTCTGATCTACTTTGATGCTCACTTTCAGTAGAAGTTCTACCGTTCATTTGCATCTTCCTTGGAAATAGCTAGTGTATCTGTACCTGGAGAAAATTTATACAGGAAAAAAAACCCCTCCCTGATATATTGTAAAAAGAGAGGAAACCTTTTTTTTTAAATATCCTTTCCTACAATACTATCTTTTTCATACTGTCTAAATGGCTTTCCATAGTTGGCATTTGAAACACAAAGTGAGACTAGATATGTCAGAATTCTTGAAAACTGTATATTAAGGTTTGGTTTATGCTGCAGTTTGTGAGTTTAAGACTTGGCTGAGATCTACTCTGTGTTTGTAGCACTGAAGGCAGAGCAGATGAGATAAGCCTTCAGCTTCTACAAGTATTTCACAATCTGCTTGATCTTCCAGAAGACCTATGACCCAAGATTTGATAGGATCAAGGAGCACTGCTGGCTGAGGAAGAGACCTCAAAGGAATGGCCATAAATCAGACCATGGGTCCATCAAGTTCAATATCCTGCCTCCAACAGTAGCCCAGAGTGTATCTCTAGAAGAGGATTAAGTTTTCTCTGAGTATTCATTTAATCTCAGTTTTTCATATTGAAACTTCACACAATTTTTATGGTCAGGTCCTTGAAGAAATTTCAAGAAAATTATACACTTGAACTTAGTCTGGTATTTTTCAGGATGTTAGTGAATAGAAAAATGCTGGTGAGGTCTCATTGTGTTTGAATGATTTACTGCAGTATTTTTTTGTCCATAGAAATCGTTAGGTTTTTGAAACAATAATGCTGCCAGGACAATTTGTAGCAATTATCATATTTGCAGATTCACTGGGATCAACTGACATTAACAAAGTAACAAATTTCAATTTTTAATTTTCATATATCACAGTGACAATTGTATGTCAGCTTCTCCAGGTTTTATTTCTCAAGGTAATCAAACTGCTTTGGGCAGGCTTGCCAGAGACAGTATCCTTTAGATGCAAGGAATGGAAGAGCTAAGAATAGAGCACACTGATCTGTCACACAGATTTTTCACAAATGACTCAAAGATTAAACCTGACTTGAGTCTGCCAGAAAGACCACTAAAAGTTTGTGTATGAATTCTTCATATTTTCATGAAACCATGGATTTACCACAAACACAAACTGTGCATTTTCTAATTAAAATGTTGCCCTTCAGCTGCGATACATATTAAAAGGTTAGTGCACATCAATTAGAAATACATAGTTTGAAATAAAAATGTAGATTTGTACTTTGTATAATAGATGAGACTTATTCAGCTTTGGGAATTGCATTTTACCTACCAGAAACAATGGAAGACATTTTAAAAAACTCAGGATTCAGATCTTAGAGAATTGCTTTGTAGCATTTTTAATAGCAATTTATAGCAGCTGCTCATGCAGAGATTCTTTGAAACAGTTCAGCTTCAACAGGTTTGCAAGTAATCCCCTTACAAGAATTTCCTCATCAGTGAAATATGTAAAATCACTTGGAGAATACTATAAGAAATTGATTATAAAAGGGGGCAACAGGTCATTGACAAAAAAATTCAGAAAACACAGGATTAGGTCTTGCAATGTATGAATACATAGTACAATTGAGAGTTGAGTGGCTCACAACCCAGTAGGGTGTTTCTGTTCAATTTTAGAAGTAAACTATAAAATGTGAGCCAGCTTCTGACAATCCAGATGTGAGAGAGAATGGTATAAAGAGAAATCAGGCCATTGGTACCATCTGGCTTACTTTTCAAACCCTGAATGAATCTGTGGAGAAGTTAATCCTAGTATGAAGATGGAAAAGACTTCAAGAGTTAGCTTACCTTAATACTTGAAGCCCTGAAGTAGTAGTGAAGATAAAACTATTAATTTAATTTGGGAAGTGTGATTTTCAACTAATAAGCTGGCACAAGAAAATAGCAGTATTCAAACTAAATGAACAGATTATCAGCTTTTACTTGGTGGGAGGTCCCATCACTAATGTAACCTCGGTATCCCCATTACACACAATCATCTCGCTAGAGATGACTCAGTCAGTCAATGAGAGCTGCATCAGCTACCAAGACAAAATACTTCTGAATTATATTTTACATGGAGACTTTGGAGCTCTTAATTTCTATTAGACACTGGCAATTTTACCATAATGCTAATATCAACCAGAGTATTTTACCATAATGCTAATATCAACCAGAGTAAATACAGGGCTCTGATCTTGCACACGTGGAAAGTGGTGTCAGCAAGGACGGAATATGGAGGGGGAGAGAATTGCACAAGGAAGCTTGAGAGTGCCTCTAGAAGAAAAAGTACATATAAAAGCGATATGGGAACCAGAAAGCGTGAAAGGTAAGCTACCTTCGAAATTCAGTGCTTCTGAAAAGGATGAAGTATTTTAGATGAAGAGTGGCTGCAGTACAGTGACATTATGCTCTGAGATTGCCAAATGATGTCACTTTGCACAAGGAATATACGAAGAATGTACTTTTTCCATCCCTTATTCATCAATAGTAACCTTTCTCCCAGAAATAAAGCTACAGACACACTCTTGTTGTAGCCTAAGTTACTTTGGCTCCGGACACTTCACTTTTTGCACTATTTGCAAAAACCTAAAAACCAAACCGACCAAACAAAAAGCAACAGAAAACTCCACAAAGTTAGCAAGTAAATAGGTAGCCAATAAAGCCCAGGAAAAGCCTCATGTCCTTCTTTTGTCCTGACCCCAGTTTTACAATATGAAAAACGAAATGCAGGAAAAAAAAACTGAGGAGGAATTAAAAAGAGCTGCAACAGTAAAAAGAATAGTGGCTGTAGCCCTTAATATAGGGTACTCAAAGATTATGGTCCTTCCTTTTGCATGGTTCTGAACCACTTTTCCCAAAACCAGCTTACTAGAATTAGAAGCAGTAACCCACTTCAGAGCATATCAATGAAATGTTTTCCACTGGAGGAAATACTAAAACAGACATAGATCTTTGAGCACTCGGGATAGGCAAGGGAGAAACAAAAAAGCGTTGATAGAAAGATGTTCAAAATAGAGCATGGAAATAGTGAACATTTTTTCCTAATAAAGATTTGAAATATAACTTAAATAAGCAATAAACAGTATCTCTTAAATGTAAGCTTTTTTACTTTGTTCTGATTCCTTCCGGGTTTTTTATGATTTGGTTTTTAAGAACAGCTATCATGAACTGCCATAGAAAAAAGTTTATTTGATATGTTTCTTATGTTGGTTCAGTAGCCTGAAAAATTTTGTCCTGTCCAGAAACGATTCTCTTCTGTACTACAGAAATCAAACCATTAATAAGAAATGACAGCACTTTAGATAAAAATTAAAATCTTGCTCATAATAAACAATTTCAAATGATAAATAGAAAATCTATCAAAAATTCAGGCATTAAAAGGTAGTTCTGTCTTGCCTTAAAATTCTTGTAAGATTACAAGAGAAACTGAAAATTGAGTACAAACTGAAGTACACATAGCAATAAATGAAAGCAGATTTCCAGTGCACTGCTTCTCTACAACAATACAGACCAGTGCAGTTTTGCTTGTTGCAGTTTTTTTTCCCCCCTCTCTTACTTAAAGGAAGGGTTATCAATAATTATAGATTTAATAGTACACTGAAGATAGAAAACAATTGTACAAAATTGTAGATTTAATAGTACACTGAAGATAAAACAAAAAAAAAGATAGAGAGAAGAGTAAATTGAAATGTATCAAAACATTCAGTTTGGATAAACACCAGAAAGTGAAAGGCGCAACAGAAAAAAAAAGCCAAACCAGGAAAAAGTAGCTACCCCAAACTATCAAGAATTATTAGAAATTATGCTACAATAAACTCCTCCTTATACTATGTGAAAAGTCAGGTAGTTTTCACATTGTAATACTATGTCACAGAACAAGCTCCAAAGTAATTGTATCTTTCAGAATGACTATTCAGAATAAAAGAAGGCTTTTGATTGCAGAAATTGTAACTTGCTGAAAATGAGATTTTTTTTATTATCTCTCTTTAAATAAGATTTTGATATTTCAGTTGAGAATGGATTATGCAGACAGATGTAGACTTTTGCAAGTAAAATACACTTTCCAGATGATGATAGATTTTTATAAAACTGGGAGCCAGCGACAGTTTTAAGTTTCTATTTACCTCATTTTTAGCAGAAGAAAATAACACCTAAAGCCAGTGATATTATGAGTATATAAACACAATACTGCACTGTATCATTTAATAAACAATCTTCTACAGATTTGAATGCCTGAAAAGCAAATAAAAATGGTACACAAACCCCCCCAAATACAAAAGAAAGCAAACAAACAAGAAATCAGCTTTTGCAAATAGCTGAACAGATTTCCATGTATATTTTATCTTAATATTGCACTTTTTACTCAAACACTTTGGAAACACAAATAAAAGAAATTCCACACAGTTCAGAAAATCCATCCACCCTCGCTGCAATCTGGGTAACAAAACATGCTACCTTATAGATCCTATAATTGCATCTGAGCCTCTTGTTGCAATTACTGCTTTGTTGCATTCTCAATATGCATAATTGGGCATATTTCACGGCATAGAAAAACTACATGTACTAGAAAAACTCCTGTTAATAACATTTTAGGGGGAGGAACATGTATTCAAAATTAAGAATATTCAATTTGGGATACTATTTGTCAAAGTTCAATTTATCATGTCTGTATTTTGGTGTCTTCTTTGCATCATCAGCCTTTTTTTCTTCAGAACTCTCAAAAAACTGAGCAAAAACGCATACAAGTTTTAGTAGCATGAAAGAAGAGTGTAGATAATGAATTAGCAGCATCGTTGGTTTGTATACAGTAATTCATTCACACAAATTTCTGTATTTCATTCATCAATATCTGATTTATTAAAGCTAAAACAAAGCTGTACCATCAGAAGATGCACCCCAACAACAGGGAAACAAAGTCCATTCCCAGAGTGTTGCACTGTTACATTTGCTCATTTTGCATACAAAACAATTCTTACCCAGCTCTAGTTGTTTTATATTCCACCTTAAGGATAGGTTTACAGGGTTCTGGCTTCTTTCCATCCTTCAGCTGCTTTCCTAAAGTAAATTATTTTCCTGTGTTAATCTTGCAGTTCCATAACATTATGGCAAGTAATGAAATTCACTGTGCAGCTTGAGAAGTATAAAATTCACACAACATATATTCAACAACTTTGACAGTAATAGAGTATGCCTTGGAATAATATAATTAAACATTTCTTAAAGCTCTCAACACAGCAACTTTGAAGGTTTAGGAAAAAGAGCAACTCTAAACCTGACTGCTGTAGAAAATTTGTTTTCAAACATATAATCCTCCCCTAAAGTGCTGTTTTAAGTGGCACTAGGAGATTTAAAATTTATGTTGTGCCTACTCTTTTGCAATTAAAATTGGTCAGCTTACAAGCAAAGTGAGGTTTACCCTAAGTATTGTCCTTAAGGGCTAAGACTTCAATTGAGCATGAAAAGCCCATTCTCTCATAATTATCCTTACTGATACATCCACACTTGAAAATCCTAAGTAAATAAGTTGCAAAGACATGAAATAGAGACATGCACATCATGTAAGCCTGGCATTTGTGTACAACTTACTAGAAGAGCAGCAGTATACTTCACAGAAGAACAACATGTAATGATAATTTCATAGATTAACATTAATGCAAGACCTCTCAGAAGTGGGAACATCTTACTAGATGCTATTCTTGTTCTGTTACAAACCCTCCCAAAAATTTATGTGGTAATCTACACATTTATACATAAAACAGGTACTTGCTTATATGTATTTTAAACAATCTATGGGATTCTGATATAACAAAAAGCATGTCCTGCAAAATATGCATTCGTTAACTCTGAGATCAGTGCCATTGTCTAAAAGACAAGCTTTAAGTTTAGAGAATTAGAGAAAGCTGTACTGATTTGGATTCTTATTTCATAAAGATTTTTTTTTTCAAGTGAAATCTATGAGAAACTGGCACGACTGAGAAAGATTTTTACTGCATTGCAAGTACACTTTTAATACTTGTTTTTTGCAAAACACAGTTCTATTAAAAACAAGTTCTCTGTGTTTTAAGAGCTGTCAAGTGCATTGGGTATTCATTTTCACCTTACCATGTGGAGTGATTGTCTGGAATGGTTTGGTAGGAGATTTTACATTCCATATAGTCAAGGTACCATCTGAGTGACTACAAATGAATTGTTTGCCTTCATGATGCCAAGCCACAGAGTGGATAGCCTATGCAAGAGAAAGCAGAACAACATAAGCTGTGTATCTTATTATCATTTTCTTCTTATACCTTCCTCAATGACATTAAACAGAAAATGCCAATTAGAAAAATTACTAATTAAATAATACCTATCCTATTATGTCTTAATTTACCCACGTCAAGTTTTCCAAGTTTTTTTTTTTACATAAGTAGTACTTTCAGACACACTTTACCCATCAAAAATACTGTCTTCTCTGTTTAGGGCGAACCCACCCTCCTCAGCAGAGTACTGAAGTATTCTCCCATAAAGGGTAGCATGAAGACAATAACTGCAAGCACTTATTTAAGCTTTGCTAACCAAAATTTTTCAGTATTGGGAAAAACATATTGTCCAGACAAAAAATATGGGATGAGACTATTAAGTTCAAGTATTACATATTGTTTTGAGATGTTTATGTGAATGTGCACAAGAGGCAAGCATTAGGTCAAAACTTCCATAAAACAGAAATTGAAGTAACAAGATTTTTTTGAAATTATGATGATGAAAGCAAAGTATTAGCCTGGTCGCTCTAATATTGCAATGGCAGCTTTGAGATGCAGTAAAGCACAAGAATCTACTAGTAAATCTTTCCATAAATACAAAATCATCTCTAGATTCCTAAAATTAGGAATGGAATGATTACACCATGCCACATAAAAGCTACAGAAAACAGCTAAATAAATGAAATCTAGTTGCTGCCTTCAGGCAAGAGGAAAGTAAACAATGATGCAAAGAATACAAATAAGGCAAAAATATTGACTAGCAAGAAAGGATTGGTGCCATTTCTGCTTCCAGCACTTCTGTTAGTATGTGGAAACATGATGGAACCATTAAGTGATATTCAAAGGAATTTTAGTTATAGCAAGAAAGTATCAGTACATAATGAAACCTTAATGCATTTCTCTACTATCCAGAAGGTGCAAAAGGAACTGTTAACTGCAAGACATATGGAACTTTGGTATTACTGAAAAGCTAGATTTTGTAATGAAGACATTACTAAGCTAGAAAAGCAGGTGCTGAATGAGTGAAAACTGATGGACTTTACCCTCAGTGGGTACCTTCAGTAGTGATTCTGTCTGTAAGAAGGGCTTACACTCACTCCAGCTCTGCAGGGGCCTTGGGATTTCCTCTGTGAGGAAACCTGGGTGTGTGAGCAGTAGAGAAATGTGACCAGCAATGACAACCTAAGCAGTAATTACTGGGTGAAGAGCATATCTCAGGACAGATCCAAGTGAGCTTTGCTCAACCTGATTATACACAAATCAGGTCTTCATATTTCATGAAGTTATACAGAGAGACAAGACAGGTTCCAGCAAACTGAATGGGAGAATCCAGAGCTTAAATGATAGAGGAAAATGGCTATGCTGCATGAGTCTAGAGTCTCCAATAAAAATTTCCCTCATATAGACTAATATAACATCTGGACATATGTAAACTACATATTAAGTTTAGCATTTCTTTGTGAAATTTAATATTGCTCCCTATGTATTGTGGAATCACTATAGATTTTTTTAAGACAGATTTTGTGTATCAGTATGACATTTACACATGTAGCTCAGAAACAAACCTACATGCCTCACATGATGTGTCCTACTATCAAAGTGAAATTCTCTTGCTCATTCTGCCTGTCAAATAAATTTTTATATAGCAAAAACTGGTATAATAAAAGAAATCTTGCATAAATACTGAGTTTTTATTTACCAACATCATACCAAATAAAGCAAAGGGTCAACAATTTTGAGCATGCAGACTCAGTAAAGAGAAGGCTGCATTTAAAAAAGCTCATCACTGACAAAATAAATGTCTACAGCAGGCTTAGCAATACAATATAATCAGTACATTTTACATAATCTTCCATATGAAGTCTAACCTTGACAACAGTAGGTAGCCCATCTTGTAAATGAAACAGTTTGATTCACATCTATGTAGAAATAGGTCTTAAGAACTATTTCTACAGTAGGAGAGCAAGTTTCACAAAAGGAAGCAAGAATAAATCTGAGAAATTATCACTTCCTTTCTTGAAAAATATGTCAAGAGAAGGGAAATGCAACAACTTGTTACTCTTGAAACAGCATTAATGCTTAAGAAGATAAAAAGATCTGAGCACAAAGGAGAAGAATGACTGCTCTCACTTTCTGCAAGGAACATGGAGGTTAAAAAAAAAAACCTCTGAAAGAGAACAATGAGCCTTTTGGCTTTATGGCTATTTACTGCCTAGTTTTAGTCTCTTTAGTTTTAGAGTCACTTGTTATATTTAGTAATGCAGCTAAATATTTTTTTAAATGTAACTGAAATATATGCTTTATGTTTTTTAAAATAATCCAACTAACAACTCTGTGGGCTGGGTATGATAAACTTTTGCATAGAGCAATATCCTTTGCAATCACACAATTCACAAATTCTTGTAAGCTTAAAAAATAAAAACCAACTTCATAAGTAGCTCCAGCACTATCTCAAGGTACACAACAAGCTGGCCTACTGACAAGAAAGTTATAATGAAAAGAGTGTAATAATCTCAAGTAGTACTAGTTAGCTGATAGCACTAGCAAGAATCTCAATCACCAAAACAAAGCTGATATCTGAAAAATCATCTCTATACAGAAGAGCAAAGAAGTTTTAACATTTTCCAGAGTTAATATTAGTGCTGGAATCTGGACGAATGCATAAAATAGAAAAATGAAGCAGAATCCACTGAGTCTGCAAAACAAATCCTCTAAGACACTAAAGAGCCACTAGGAGTAGTTTATTTCTATTCTAATATTTTACACTAAACTTACTGATGCACAATAAAATAATTATGTTTTAATCTTAATTCTCACCATGATTAAAGCTTCCCGTTTTCTTTTTGGTACCATAATGCAGCAGTATGCTTGTATCAGCTGGTGCAGATTTAACTGTGTCACAAATAATTTCTGGTCAGATGGGACCAGAAAGTAACCCCTTATAACAAGATCATACCCAAGTACCACAGATGATTGTTGTTATATTTTAGGCATTTGTATCCATTATTGGAGTTGTCTGCACAGGTAAACCGAGTCCTGACCTAAATTTCATTCTGAGTCCTCCCATTTATGAACATGAACCAAATTCAGGAAACCTTTACAGAAACTCAAACAGAAAGAACTCCAAGAAAAAATTAACCAACTTTGTCTAGATAAAACTTTATACTTAATTAATTACCACTGAAGGTTTCCTATTAGAAATATTCCTACTATCCCCTTCATTTACTTCAAATTTAAGGTACCTATTCTGGACTCTAGGGAAGTTTGTTTCAAAACTTCTGAGACAGTTATGTATTTTCTGGGGAAGTGGGGAATTGAATCTTACTTTTTTGACTAACAACACAATTGAGTTTGCTGTCCTATATATGCCTAAACTTTATTAGAAATTGTAGGATCTATCCCTGAGTTTTATGTAGAGACAGGCTGTACTCAAACACAAAATCAATTCACCATCTGTTCCAGAAAGATGATCCCATGTGGAAAAATTGCTGCCATGCTGCCTGCAAAGAAGGTGAGTATACCTGATTTTAAGACAGAAACATTTTCGCAGCTATTGCAGCAGTTAACTGAGGGAGACTTAGCAATCACAAATAAACCAAAAAACGTCTGAGGAACAAAATTAAAAGCATTTATATGCAAGACTCCTACAGAAATACCTTAAGTATATCACCAGCTTTTCAAGAGATTATTGCATACTTAAAAACATTTTGCAAAATTTATTTTCTTCGGCAATAGCTTGTAAATATCCTTGAAAATAACTATTAGTTCTTGGTGCTTTTAGGAAGTACAAAAATGAATAATTTAAATGCAACTTTGCAATTTAAGAGACAAGTTCATCAATAAAGACCAAAGCTTTTATGGTATTTTTCCACCAGGGGAATTTAGCAGTTTCAATTCATTAAATACTGATACAAGTAATCCCATTCTTTTAAATTCATACATATTTTAGCCACATGCATATGATTTTGGAACATTTTGAGACCACTCTTCTCATCTGTCATGGTTTAACCCCAGGCAGCAACCAGGCACCACAGCGCTGTTCACTCACCAGTGGGATGAGGGGTAGAATCAAAAAAAAAGTACAACTCATGGGTTGAGGTAAGAACAGTATAATAATTTCAATAAAAAGAAGGTTTCAACACAACTAAAACATCCGTGTGATATCCAAGTTATTTATAGTGAATCTAAACACACAACTCTTTGGTAGGTACTAGAAAGAAAATTAAACCTATTCCAGCCAAAACCAGAACAGCATGGAGGATTTCAATGATGTAAACACAAAAGTTATTAATTTAAGCCGTTTACCCCATTTTCAAGAGAAATTTTTTTAATCCGGTTTTCTAACACCAAATTTAGACTACTGCAAATATAGAATACACTAGAGACATTGATAAGTCCTTTCATAATTCCTTGGATTTCTCAATGATCCTTTACTCTTGCGACATTAATTGAGCTTGAAATACACTGTGCATGACTGGCAAAGTCCATGATTAGTTATTCTGCAAACCAGCCTGGTTATTTACCATATCTTATCCAGATTTCAAAGCCTTATTATGACAGTCCTTTAATTTCCAAGGATATGGGCAGCATTTTTGCTTAAACATGAATGGATGATGATACTGACTCCTTTTCTAACAGTTCACCAAAATATACAAAGAAAGTATTTTAAACCTATGCTAACTCTCTTGTCAACAACCTAAGGAAAGGAAAAAATGCGGTGAAAGGAAGAAAACAAACAAAAAAAATGTAGCTAATGAGACTTAAATGACAATACAACATGAAGATTGTTTCGATGAAATGAAATACATTGACACACTTTGGTTTCTGGCAAGTCACATACTGGGGTTGTTTCTCTTCCTCCTGTCCTCTTAATTCCACAAGCTACTTTGACATGTTTTTAATGCTCTAAAATAATCTCTTACACTCAACCATGTACCAGAACAGTGAGTCTAAAAATAGTAATCTATAATGCATTATAGTTAATGCTGTCAAAGCTTACTTGACATCAGAACAAACAAAATATTACTTGAAGAACAGACTTGATTATAGAACAAGCTTTAGTTTTCAGAAGTTACAGTTGAGGGATTTGGGGTTTTTTTTTTAGGAAAAAGAAATACTTGAGAAATTAGTTTAATTTCTTTCATGAACATACAGGTTGGGAAATGACTGCAATATAAACTGTATTTCACACAGAAATGCACAGCGTACTTTCCTTAAATCCCCAATGTCTGCATATAAAAGGCTTAAGAATGATGCAAAAGGAATTTAGTCTTACTGTTTCATTGAGCCTGCCCAAGACAAAAGGGATGTTTTGAGTAAAAGGTTTCAAAGAGATTTCCTAAACAAAAGTTCATTTGCAGTTACAGTTCCACTATGTACAAATAATTTCCTCCAAATTCTCTGAAAAAGAATGTTACACTTGTGCATTATTCTAAGTAATTTTAAATATTCAAGGTATTGCTGTTATTATAAAAAATATGCATTACTTTAAGTTCAGGATTTAATTCATAATATAGAAAGATCAACTACAAATTATAGCTAAATTCTTTGAATTTTCCTGTAAGTAGAATGTTCTGGAGGGAAGAACATGCCAGCAATCAGCAGTAACCCTAATCATGACCTAGAGCTCAGCCATGGTTAATGTCACCCACCTGCTCCTGTGCTTGGGGTGAGTGTCTTAGGGTCCTTGTGCTACAGCTATTGGCCCCGGGTGCTGGGAAGGCACACGTGTTCAGAGAGGAAGAAAGTGTGCACAGAGTTCCATTAACCTGGCTTTCAGGCAGCAAATGAGACTGCCCTACCACAACATGGGAATTTGCTTCAAGAAAGCCTCCTAAAGGTCAGGCCATTTGAAATGAAACCAAGCAGGAAGCTACAAACCCATATAATTGGATTCAACATCTTCCCTCAGGAAATAACAGGTATCTTTCCACAGACCTCTGGACATGCCGAGATTTTGACCCTCATTAAGATCTTCCTCTGCTAAGGAAGAAAGGATGACATTTGGATCCCTGCACACATCTGAAGTTTTGAGTTAAGAAAGTTGCACCAAATGATGGTGAAAGACCTTCAAGTTACATGCTTTAAGAATAACATCAACTACAAAGTGATGAGAGAGGAGGAAACCAATGCAATGGCAAAGTTTCTAGCACACGTTCTTTATGGTATCAATGTCCTGGCCACCCTGCTCATGATGCCTGAGGAAGCCTAGCCACTCACTAAGATGGCAAGTGTGACAAGATTGGACTAAGTAACTCTCTTCTTACTGGTTGTCAACTCCTCACTCAGAAGAGCCCTCATCAAGAACAAGCAGAGAACCAAGCGCATAAATCCTGAGGCTTCAAGTCCTGCTCCTGCAACGGGGCAGAATGTCACATGCATTACCCTCAGTGAGAGAAGAGGTGAAGCATGTTGTGACATGAGATGCTCCCTGTCCCTTGAGGGTGGGTTGGCACACATGTTCATGATGGAACACAGCCCTTACAGTCAGTGTATGAAAGAAGTTCTCTAACAATGCCATGAAACCAGGAAATCAGCAAGAAGCTAGCCAGAAAGATTCTCTGCACAGAAATGTCCAAATTCGCACAGTTTGTTAGCAGGAAATAAAATGGCCAAGAACTTTGCTCTGCGTCACAGTAACCAGAGACAGAGGAGATCCCTTGAGACAGGGCACTGCTCCATTCTGAGTCTTCTGTGTGCAAGGAAGACTCTGAGCAAGGAAACCACTACATTACCAGCTTGTCACTTTTTTCTCTTCCCTTCCTAATCATTCCCAAGTTATGATAAACACATTTCTTTACTGGGTCTGACTGAGATATCTCATTAATTCTTCTGCAAAAAAACCTCAAACTGAAGATCTAGATGCATTCACTTCTAAATCCTAAAGAAATTCAAAGATTTAACACCTGAACTATTCACTGATCTCTGCAGCCTCTCAAGTCAAAATTGGTTCCAAAAAGGACTGAGACAGATATTAATTTTTAAATAAATGGACCACAAAATAAAAAAAATTAAAAAAACCAACAAGCAGTATGGTGTCAACCTTAGGTAAGTTTCTAGAAACTGCAACAAAATTTTAATAAAGAATAGAGTTAATTGACATATGGATGAGTATAATACACCAGATAGAAGTAGTCAACATGCTAAATACCTCTCAACATGAGAGGCAATTCTATTTTAACCTCCAAGAATAGTAACAGGCATGAGGTTCATGGAAACACCACTTAAGCTGTCTACAAAATTTTCAAAGTCCTTGAACAATGTATCCCAAAGGAAGCCTAAACTAAACAGATTAGATAGCTTTGAACAAGTAAATAACTGGTTAAGGAAGTAAAGCAATCTGGAGTACAGACAGGCTGGCACTAATTGATTAGTTCATGGATGAAGTTAAATGGTAGAGACCCTCAGGGATCCCATCTGCTCAGTTTATTCATAAGCAACTTGTAAAATTAGAACAACAATATTAAGACAGTAAAGTCTGCTGACAGTACCAAACCACACTCAAAGCAGAAATCAGGATTTCAGTGAAAAACTGCCGAAAAACTTCAATTTTTACTGTCCAACTATGTCAATAAAAAACAATGCCTAATTGTCAGGACTTTGACCTGACAAGTGACACCTGAAGAACGAGTCTCTGGTTTTACAGTTGGTTGTTTCAAGGAAGCATCTGCTTTATGCTTGCAGCATCAAAAGACTAATCCAATATCAAGATCAAGAGAAAAAGAAAGCAAGGCCAAAGACAATTATTCCACATGATAAATCCAGAGTGCCCACATCTTCATATATACTATGCTGCTGTGTTTCTGTTTTACAAAACAAAGATAAAATAGAATGGTTAAAAAAGTTAGGGAAGAACACAACAAGTAAGAGGTCTAGGAAGAAAAAGATGATAAAGACATGAATAAATTTATATAAAAAAAAAAATAAAGGGAATTAATTAGCTTCATGCAATGAAAATGGAAGGGAGAAAGATTGCTCTTTCCATAACACATTCTGGGGCTTATATGGACATTTCTGATGATCTAAGGCTTAGACTACTTCAGAGCCTCCTCCTCCAAGCAAACTCTTGATTGGTAGAATACACAGAAGTACAAGTACTGAGCCAGAACTGCCACCAAAAAAACCCAACAACCCTGTCCCCCTTCCCCAACAAAAACCCTAAAGCTGGTACTGAACAATGACAAAGCTATTTTACAGTTAACAAAATGCAATCAAGACCAATTTTATATTATTTTAAATTAAATACATCAACTTGTATATTATGCTGACTCATTTTTCTTAATCTCAGTTGTTCAAAAAGTCTGTTCTGTCAAGAATCAAGTTTTAAAGAAATGAATGGCACCTAATACCACTGTTTTTTTAAACCTCCCCCAGTCTTATTTCAAAGAGAATTGATCATGATCTTATTCTACAGAGAAAAGGTGGTTAGAGAAATGTTGTAGTGAGACTATTTATTTAGTGCTTTTTCCCCCACCCTTTTCTCTCGCAGTTCCCAGAATATGTGAGAAATTCCAAATTACAGAAATTGATAAACCATCTTCTTTCAACTTAAGCCCTTAACACAGGTGAAAGTCACGATTAACAGAAATAAGATCTAAAAGCTTAGTGAAGAAATCCAATCCATGCCACCATTCATTACTTTACACACTTAAACTCAGTGAAGTTGTTTGGTCTGAAGTTTATGATCCAAGCCCTACTGCTCTTTTAGAGAAAACTTCCAGTACTTGCAATTTCAAAGAGACCTACTTATTGATCCACTGGTGACAGAAGCAGGAGATTAAAAAATAATAAAAGTCACTATTTGAATTATATGCTCAGAGTAAGTAATGCAGATGAAAAATGTTACCTCATCATGTGTATATCTATAATCTGCCTTCTTTGACTTCAGGTCCCATAATACCACCGTCCCAGATTCAAAGCCAATCAGAAGCTGCAATAAGAAAATACATTAATTCTTTATAAGGAAAATCAAAATGATATCATTTGCAATCCTGAGGTTCTTGTCCAAAAAGACATGCAGCATAATAGTACATGTAGTAACAGCAAGTAGTTATAAAAACAAAAATTAAAGAGGCAAAGGCCTCAACATTAGAAAGGTTTACTTTGTACTTATTGGCCTCAAGTTCCAGAAAATATAATGGACATTCATGCAAAACTAGAAAAAAATCAAAGTATCCTTCTGAAGTTTCCTTGGAAATCACTTTGTGTAGCAGAAAGATCTATATTAACCCTTGCTATGCGTATTCCACCTTGAGTGAAAATAAGGGGTGTTGAAAAGGAGAACTTCATTGTGCATTTCCCTCACTGGAATTCATTCTGCTTAAATTTGCTGGAAGAATACAACATTCCCCCTGAAGTTCTCAATAAGAATTCATTGTCTATTAAGAAACTATATACTATGAGGTTTCTCCAGAGGTTAATCACAATTGAGATAACTGGCTGAAGGAACCTCAAAAACATTACTTGTTCATAGGAAAAAAGCTAGATAAACTAAACTAGATAATTTCCCAACTAATCCTTTTGCAAGAAGCAAGTTTAAATCTTTACTGCAGGGAGTGAAGACTCAAATTGCTCCTAACAATTGTTCTAACACACCATTGACTATTTAAGTATTTCAGTCTCCTAACTTAACTGCTACTTCTCTTAATGGAAAAAAAAGACATAAACCATGTCCAACATAAGGCAGTAGGAAAAATGTAGTGCCACACCTAGAGGTTTTGCCTAGACAGTGTTTTCAGAATGTTAAGATTTTCAAAGTATACAGTTGTCTCCAGTACTAACAGATGTCCTACAAGCTTACAAATAAAATATTTCATCTCTTTCAGTGCTATACAGCACTAAAATATCATAAATATTAGACGTGATTGATCTAGTAGAAGTGAATATTTAATTTTTCCCATTAACATTATGTGTATGTAGGCAAGATTATTTTTAAATTATTATATGTCATATACTATAATTTTTTCTATTTTAACTTCAAACATTAGAAAATCCACTGATTGGAAAGCTAAAAGCATGAACACATTTTAAAAGTGTGTACACGGGGAATTTTTTGCAACTACACGGGGCTTTTTTAGTAATGTTTTCCTTACAAGAAATATGAAAAGCATAAGGTCAAGATCTCAAAACACTTATTTATAGCCTGATGAATAAAACCAGTGATTTTTAAACTTTACTTGACAATAATTGGATGTGGGGTGAAATACATCAAAGTTAATTGACCACTTGTATTTCCTGAAATTACAACAGCTTCATTGCATTCATATGCTACAGTCCATAAGCCTGGAATGTGATTCAAACCTAATTCTACAGAGAAACCCATTAGTTATGCACTTACTGCAGTGAGCATCATACTAATAAAAAAAACTCTTCTCATTAAATTCTCTGCTGGACTGAAACCTCAGGTGTTTAGGGTACAAGCTGATAACTAGCTAAAGCTTTCAAACCACTGCTAAGACAGTGGGATCATTCCCTCTCTCCAATGTAATCTACTACTGTCATGAAAAACACAACACAGACAAAAAATATTCCTCCAGCCTATGTAGAGCACTAGTAAGCAAAATTGTATTTCACAGGACAAGGACTCGTGTCTTGCAAGGGCTTCAAGAACATGCACTGTAAAACTTCTTTTTAAGATGAATAGATGATTATGTTAATACTATCTCATAAGAATGAAAATACAAGTCTAATACATAGATCTTTCTCACATATTTTGGTTTATTTTTCTGAAATATCTTGTTTTTCGGTAGGCCAGTTTCATCAGCAAACAGCATCTAGTGATCATAATAAATGGCCTAATATGGGAGTATGAGTTAGATGGCAAATTCCACAAAACCCTCAGATTAGTTAATCTAAAGAGAAAGTACATGGTATTCTATATAAATATGCTATATAAACAAGCATAATAAGTTGTGAAATAACACACAAGAGCATGTTAAAGTGGAATTAATTTCTATCACACTTTAAGCATTCTGGTTATGATTGATTGGTTTTTTTTGTAACATCTTAATTTTTATCACCATAAGTAAAAGTCTCTGCTTTTATTTCCAAAAGTTTTGCAGCTAATCATCTTCATCTCTGTTTTCAAATTACAAGATGATTTATTCCAGTAATGTGTCCTACATTCATGTCTGTACTTGGTTTTATGTGACTTTCAATGAAGTACCTTTATGTTACTTACAACAAAGGCCTAAAACCTTTGTTGTTCTTCACATACTTAATCCTTCCTTAAATAGCAGTGGTATGTAAACTTTAAAAAAGTCTTGGTGTGAAAATAATGTATTGAATAGTCGTTAAAATATCCTACCTTTCCTTCATCCATTGGATTGTCACTAATGTGGACAACAGGTCCTGGGTGAGATTTGGATGACCTGAAAAAGAAATATTTCCATTAAAAAGAATTGTCCCCTGCCCTAAATGGCATCTCAAAATGATTTGAAGTAATACAGATTCTGCAGATACAGACTCCACATAAGCAAGTTGCGACATTTCAAAATGGAGTAACTTTCACTTTTATCTTCAAGTCCATAAATGTCTCTGTTTGTAGACATTTATTTTCTGTCTTAAGGAAAGACTAATTATTGCCTATCAACAACAACAACATTAAAAAAAGCCAAAACCAACCAAACAAAAAAACCACATTAACTTTAAACATTTTATCCTAATATCTGTTGTTACAGAATTGACACTGTAGGATCAAATGTTTACTTTTACACTGGAATACAGGTTTTGCCACTATTCATAAACTGCCCAAGATGGCCATTGTTACAATAACACAGAATTAACACTTTATGTGGACTTCCTGCTACTGAAGAAGATGGACTAATACAGAGCTGTGTTTGCTTCAACACCTTTTGGCAAGTGACAGACTTCATGTATTTTGGAAAGATGTACTGTGAACAAAACACCAGCACAAGAAAGAGCAGCACACAACTACATCTTTCCCCCACTAACCACTATATTTGTGCATAAAATTTTAACATTGAAAAAAGGAGATGCAGTGACAATAGCTATAAAATGTATTTTTGTCTTGGCATAGACTTATTTAAATTTGCATTTCAGAAAGTCACTTCCAATTTAGAATATATCAGCCCTCTTTAAAAATGCATTATCTTTACACTTTGGTCTTTAATCCCCAACTGCAGAAGCAACATGTCTGTCCAAGTACCAGCCACACCATATTTTAATGTATATTATTTTTTCTTCTGCTTTATCCCAACACATAGAGATTTTTAAATCTATTTCTATACTGTCTATTTTGTCTATTTCCATGTCTATCCCAGGAGCTATGATAAAATACTGCTAAATTTAAGAAACATATATTAACATTAGCACCTCATATTCTTAAAACTAAAAATATCTACATGACTATGCACTTTGATAGTGTATGTAGTGCAGTAAGATGAATATGGAGGCCTCTCTAGAAAACAATGACATTCCTGCAACTGATGTTAACAACAGCTGGGACATTGCTGTTCCCTCCCCTCCGCAGACAAAAATTGGTTAAACTCACAGTTCAATGGCTTTATTCCACATGATGACATAGCCTGAGAGAGTAAATGATTCCACATTGACAATGTGAATGTTTCCTCTTTCAGTGCCCACATATAGCCATTTGCTTTGGAAAGGCAGGTGACAAAATGTTATCCTGAAAGAAAAAGCCACCAAAAAGAAATTAAAGAAATGTCTTTTTGATATCCTGCATTGCAAAGTCCATGATACCAAAAGGTAGAAATAAGGCAACAGGCAAACAGCAATCCATAAGACAAGTTTGAGGTCAAGTAGAAAAGCCAGTACATGACCAAAGTAAGAGATGAACAGACAAAGTAGAACTTTAGGATGAACAAAAAATAGAAAGCAAGGTATTCTAAAACTCATAAATCACTCAAAAAAAAAAAAAAGAAATTACAGTCACCTTTAAACATTATTGAAGGTATTTGATTGCTGTCATGTCAAACTTAAAATACAATACTCCTATAGTCTCTAAATCTCCCTTTGGAATCTATATCTACCTCAAAGTTTTAAAGAACAAAGAATTTTAGAAGTTTTCACATGCAGATAAGGCTGATTTCAAGTAAGGAGACTGACAAAAGATAAAACTCAAGAAAAGTAAGTTCACATGTCATCTAAATTAATGCCAAAAGAACAAACCTTAGAATAATCCTAAACAATTATAAAAGTAATTTTAAAAGTAGTTTAAATTTCAGGCTGCAGCTTTACTTCAATCATATTTTAATTTTCTGCCTTTTAGTCTTTTCTTCTGCTAGAAAGGTGTACCTGCACAAGACTCAACAGCTACCAACTGTATGTACTGTATGTACCAGCAGAGGACTCCTTTTTGACTGTAGCTCCAGCCCAAATACTAGCATTTGAAAACCTGATTATTTCTGCACCCTTGGGTCCTGATTACTGTTAACTATTTCTTCAAGATAAGGAAATAATGTCTGAACAAACTGACAGAATGCTAGAAATTGGAGTCTAGAAACTTTCTGGAACCTCTAAACCATTTTAATCTGACAGGGTCTGACATTGAAAGAAATTGCCAAATTACTTAGCTATCAAACTTGGGCTTTCAGAAATGTTTTAGTGATAAGGTAAAAACAATTATTCAACAAGAATTTGTTCTGTCGCCTCTAATCCTCAGCTTCACAATTTTTTATGTTCTTGTTTTCTCCCAATTGGGTTGCTTATTGCCAAATCCATGCATCACTTCACAAGCCTGTTAAGTATTTATGCAAAGAACAGCTTTAGATCCTTTGCATTAGATGCTGCATATGCACACCAACTTCAGCTGAAAGGACAATCTAACAGCAGCAAAGAGAGAAATTGCTGTGGCTGAAGAGATGTTAATTTGCACTGCAGGTTTCAAAAGTAAAAACTTCTGTAGTGATAGTACCTGGATTCAGATTCAGATACCCCTGGATCGTGGGGTTTTTTCACTTGTTTCTCCCTAATTAGGAAATGGACTTTGCTCAAGCAAGTACTAATCTATCTGCTTTCCAACTCAATTTCTTGTCCTTGAACATTGATATCAAAATAAAAGAGTGCATTAACTTTTTCACTGATGTTTGACAGAAAAAAAAAATACTACATATATGATTTAAAATGCCCCTCCTACTCAACTTGCAGATGTTGTAACACATTTAACAAAGAACTCTAATCTGCAACCACCACAGGTTGAAAACTTGTGTTTCCCCAACATCCTTTGAAAAAGAGGATTTTGATGGAAGCTAAATCACAGACATTGGTACACATTCTTCCCAGGCTGGCAGAATGATAAGATAAACATAAACCTTCAGCACTCTGGAACACTACAGCAGCTTTTTGTGCCAGCACTCCACACGCCAGAAGCAGCTGGCAACCACATCAGTTGGATCCAAAATCATGGCCTAGCAGCCAGAAAAAGTAATCAGTAGCAGTAGCAGGATTGTAGGCTTGCCTTGATTAGCAAGTTAATATTGTTAATTACAATTGCCCAACACTTTCGTTATGAAAACCAATCTATTTCACATCATTTGAAGTGGGCAAAAATAAAAGTTTGGCCTTCAGTTTTGACTGTTATAGCCCAAGGGCAACATTTAAAGTAGCTCCTCAATATTCTCGATACACTTCTTGAATACGCAGCGATTTTCAATTTACTGTCTCCTTTGTGCAACTGAGATTAATTTTGTCAAGAGTTAGCAAACAATGAACTGATTCAATGCTAATAGCAAATGAAGAGAACAAATAGCTTCACAAAATATTTACAAACTCTCAAAGGCAGGAGGTTGAAAAGACTTCAAAATTGAAAGAATAGGCACATAACAGAGTTCTTAACCTTATTTGTCAAAGTATTTTACCATTCTTCTACAGACTTGTGTGGTTTTTCTATAAACTAAACTAGATCATTTACTTCACAGAAAAACTTGGTAAATCCAAAAGGAATGGCATGCTGATCCTGCTATAAGAACCAACATTTCTCCCTGAAAGTAGTAAATGTTATTCATGTGCAAATTAAAAAAAATTACTATTTTATTTTCTTAATAGAAAAACTGTACGTCTTCCAACTTTCAGAAAGTCCACTACATTTTGACTTAATGACTCATTTCAGATAACTGTATTTAGTTTAAAAATTTACAGAATAATATTTCCAACATCAAAGTTCATGCATTGAGCTTCCCGCCTCACTAATTAAGGCTTCACCTTAAGCTATGTATACTTTAAAAAACTTTGGAAGTGTTACTGCCCTCTTAAAAACTAAAAATCAGTGAAGCTAGGACCATCTGAATGGCCTGAGCAGCCTTGTTATTGATGATTGAAGGGATTCAAACTCCTTTTGGAGGATGGAAACAAAAGGTTAGAGCCTTCTTGGTAGTGATGCAATACCTGCTTATTGCATCACTTGGCCACAGACAGCATTTTTTTGTTCTGAAAAATTAAGATTTTTCTTTCAGAAATCTATCTCTTTGCCACCAGATTAGAATATGCTTCATCCATAATGTATTTTAAGATCAAGAGAAGCAGAATCGGCCGTATAATCCTCTAGCCATTTCTACAACTTGAGCAATCTTCCCCCTCTCTCCCTACCATTTGTGAATGGATATATATATAAAAGTGGAAAATGCAATCAATTGTTGAGAACACATCAAAAAGACTACAGATGAAAAAATTTCATATTCTCTTTCTTGCACACAAACCCCAACTGCCCGAAAACAATGCAGCAGTCAAAAGCAGACTGCCATACTGCTCTCCTGTAGCAAGCCATTCTGCCCAAAAATACCAAAATAGAAGCATCTCTGATTTAAAACCGTCCAGTGCTGTAGATCTAAAGCGACAGCCTGGGATTGTTGGAGCCAGCAGCCACAGAAAGCAGGCTTTTGCAGGCAGCTCTTTCATGGCACAACAGATTCCTCATGTTGTCTCCAAGGCAATTTCAGCTCCCTCAGTAAGTGTAGTACATTTTGTGAAACAGACCAAAGTTTTAGCATAAAACAGTACAGGGCACAGCATGTCATTTCAAATATTTCACTTCCCCATATCTTCACAAAGAGAAAGACCCCTTTATAGAAAAAAAAATGCTTTAAGGAGATTTATCTTTTCAATGTGAAATCTACAGCAAGATTTTAGTATAAACTAACATCACCACTAAGATGAGGCACTGTTATACAACCCCAAAGCAATCAGGGTAGCTTTAAATTCTCCTGTAGCTGTAATTTACTACTGTAGGCACAAAATCTTCATCCTCACCACACACATATTTGCAAAGCTGCTCCCTCCCCACTGCTCAAAAAAAAAAAAAATACGAACCCAAGATTTTTCTTTCTTGCAAAATTAATTTGTAAAAGTTGAACCAATAGTTCAAGCAAACAAAATTATATACAGAAAAGCAAGTGACACACCCACAGGGAAAAACAATGATAAAATATTTTCTGTTCTTACACTAATTAAAAGTAATTTAGAATATTACTTATGGGAGAGTCTTAGAAATGATGGGAAATTCTTCAATAAGTGTTTTTTTAACCTGCTGAAAGGATTCCCTTTCTTTACTGCAGACTATATATCTTTTCTGAAAATCTGTCAAAGATATTAAAAAAAATCTTAATTGCTGCTGTTTCACATCATATATCAAAACAATTAATTCAGCAAGTGATAATACTCCCTACAGGAATTTAATTACAGAAATATTAAAGAACACAACTTATTATATTAATACATTATTCAAAGAATTAGTTTTTTAAGAGGAAATACTAAGGAAAAATGGCAGGCTGTTAACTTGACTGTGTTATTATGACAGCAGAAATCCTTCAAAATTAATCTTTACCTTTTCCTAGTCTACTGCATTATGAAGCATTATACATACTTCAGAATTTTTCACTGCTTTAACAAAGCACAGTGACAAATACTTTGAAGTATGACAAGCACTGATAACAGGTTTTATCGTTAAGTCACTAAAATATTTCTAGTGCCTCGGCCTATTGTTATAGGTCTGCAGTAACTATAAGCACACAGCTGCTCAGATCATTACTGTATAGGCAAAATAAAAGCAAAAGATTAAGCAATCAAAGCTGTATTCTGCACACCTTTATCCTCAACCTTTCATGTATGAGACAGCACTGCGTAAAATCCAGAAGCTGAGAAGTTTAATTCTGATGTTAGTGTAGACTCCAAATCCATGGACTCTTGTCGAAGTCCTCTATGGGCTTTAAAGTCAAAAGCCAGTGTCAAAATGACATTCTGATGGAAGCAAGCAGTAGTTTTGATACCACCTGACTGTTGCAAAAGGATCTTTTTCCATATCTGATAACTTCAATAAGCCTAGAACATCTACCCATACAAAAAAGGCCTCAAAGACCAGCAGGCATAAGCAGAGGAAGATGCATCCCAAAGAAGTTGCTCTTCAATGCATCCCAAAAAAAACATCCCACCAAAAACACATGTGGGCGAATGTGGTAGGAACTGAAGCAGGTACTTAATTTCCATTTATATCCCCAACAGCACTCCAAATGTTGCTTCCCCAAATCCACTGACTTGAATTGCTGTCTCTTCAGGCAGCGGAGAAGCACCTGAGTTCAGTATCTGAGTTGTAGTGAACATCAGGGGTGTCAAAATGGAGTAAGCATGTGTCAGAGCATGATACTCAACTGTCTTGGGATGACACAAAAAGTAACA